GCAGCCCATTTTTAACCGACTATTTCTACATTTTGATCGCTTGCTTTTATAGCTAAGCTTCGTTTATCATCTTACTTCTATCTGAACTGCTTGTAAAGTTAATAGAGTTCAAATTCAAACGGAAAATTCATTACTTCTTTGTATCCATTATTTCTAGTCGCAGTGAATGGCGACCGAGAACACTTGTTCTGCCGTGTCGTCGGGGAGCTTAAACAGACGAATATCGTGGATGGAACGGCAAACGACAAACGGCTAGCCGACTTTCAGCGTTCGCCGCTTTCGCGGTGCTTAATCTCACTATTAATTAATCTATGCGGAACTACGTCCCTCTCAAGTTACCAATTTTTGGTGTACCAGCAATTATCAAAAAGTAATGGTCTATGTAAAAGCAGCTCCATTTACAAAGGCGTTATACTATATATTGTAAAATTGATAATATATCAAATTGACACATCATAACGTCAATAGTTAAATCGCATACCTATTACGTTTCTAACTTTGAATACTTTGTTACTTCGTAAAATGAAGCAGCCAACTTTTTATTTTTATTACTTTATCATTACGGGTGGCGAATCTCAGCCTATCTCTATCTTTATCTGTTTAAAGAGGAGCGTTTTGAGTGACGGTCTATTTAATGATCGTAAAAAAATAACCTTTGATGATACACGTCTTGCACTTAAAGTCATGTTTTGTAGCAAAAAGTCATCGAAGGTAAAATTGTTAATTATTGCAGTAGCACGCACAGCGCTCACTGCCCTTAATTGTCAGAATAAAAGGGGTTTCAAGGAAATGAATTGAAAAACAACAACAACAACAACAACAACGAGTTCCGTTAACAATTAGAAGGGGCATTCGCACAACTACGATTTAGCTAATTATCTGTTCAATTCGTAATTTACCTTGTGACGTCGCATAATTGGAATATACAAGAAAAACAGCTGTTATTTCCTTGTATAATATCAATGGAAAAACAACGGCAATTTTTATAAGGTAGCTAGTCTCTAAGTTCTATTTCTAGAAAAATCTTGAGCAATCACTAATGGCATTTGCTGATCCAACAACTCAAATGATGCTGGGACTGATGGAGAGTGTTCTCATGAACCCCCCAGAATGTCGCACTCTTGAAAAAGTTTGCATGATTCTTCCTCTGCTAAGAACGAGATCGCCTCTATTTTATAACCTCGACAAAGGTGAGTGAGCGCGTCAGTATCTACTGATGTTTTTTTAAAAATTCACTCTGCAAATGAAAATAATTTTTCTGACGAAAGAACTTGCAGCGAGGAAAGCAGGAAACCAACTTCGGAATCCATCGTTCTGCCAGATAGATTGGAGTTCAAGCTACCGAGAAGTACTGCATTCAACGTTTAAAAGCAACTGCTGACTTGGATCGTGATTGATCATCCTCTTTTAATTTGCGAATACACCAACAGAAATAATTCAAATAAGTGACGATCGTGTTCATATCAAAATAGTCGCAAATTAGTTTTTTGACAATTAAAACAATCTGTCGAGGGAAAACGTTTGCACGCGTGCACGACTAAAAACGTCATTTGATTATGTTTCCGTGATATCAATCGTTTCCAAAGCAAACAATTTTCAATAGGGATGAACTAGAGTTATTTATCAAATAGGATCTGAAATCATTTCCTTTTTCACAATGCATGTAAGAAATGGTTGCAGCACTCCTTTCCTCTAACCTTGCCGCTGACCAATCAGTTCACACGGACCGGAATTCTAATTCCCACTTAAAAAAGACTTGTCATTCGACTCTGATGATGACTTCAACAACATTAACATCCTTATTTGTACCCAACAGTTAAAGTAAAATTACAGCGATTTCGCAATATATGTAGAGAGTGCAGGCTGTCTTTAATAACCATAAAGGGACAGAAAGGACAGCACACTTAAGTGATTAATTTATGGATATTGGGGCCAGGTACCACTCATGCACACAAATCTATACAAAACGCAAAAGGCAAAAAAAAAATTAACTTCCGCGAAGGTTGATGAAATGCCAATACCGACAACAATCCTCTAAGTACTACCCTCATAAAGGATGATCAGACTACAAGATCATGATCAAGATTCATTGCATTTTGTTTCATTCGAGATATAAAAAGGAAACAGTGACATTAGAATTCAGCATTAAATTTTTGTAAACCATCATTATTAAGATTATATTTCTATTGTCATCATCATCAACATCGCTAACATCATAATCATCATTGTTATCACTAGTATTATTTTTGATATCAAAATTTAAGGCTGTTGTACCAAAGTCGGGTTACTCCCTCCACTTTTTTTGATCAGATCTCATTTAACTCACAGATATCCTTGTGGACATTGCCACAAATGCCAGTCTGAAGAAAATCAAAAGAGATCATGCAGTCATCTGGCAAGGGCAAGAAGGAAATAAGTAAGAAAAACTTGGTTCACTATGAATTAGTTTGTAGGTTAGCAGGTGACGCAGCAGCCTGACATTTCTTCCTGACCAGGCTCAGAAGTTTATAAATTTATAAACAAACGTTCCTGCCTTTGTAGAAAAAAGGAAAATAAAAACAGAAAACTATTAGAATAGAGGAGAAGAAGTTTAGATGCCATGAAAGTGAATCCAGTTCGCTATTGCTGTCACTAATTTTAAAATACACTGAACGGTGCGAGTGTGTGAGAACTTTACTTTAGCACGATAAGTAAAATCAGCATTGCTGGTGGGGTCGTGCAAACAATAATTACGAAAAAATAAAATACTTAAACATATGTACAGTTTAGAATTAAGACTTAAAAGCTAAGACCTATCGGAAATATTTGTAGTCAGTATCTCTGTTTTTAGTTATGGCTAAAATCGGTTCAAAATTTATTTTATTTGTGTCAAATTTCCGAAGAGAGCGTTTAAAATCTTTCAAGGTTTTAGCCGTTGTTTCCTTAACGGTCTGTTAACTAAAGTAAGAAAATAGCTCTACACTGATTGGTTTCAAAATGTTGGCGAGAGCTCCCAATAATTCGAAAAGGAACTGCTAAGGAACTGAACTTTAATAAAGCCTGATAACAGTTATTTCTTTCCATAAACCAATGGTGCATAAGAAAGACTGTCTAAAGGTTTTCTTTCTGATTTTCGATGGTTGTCTGATTCATAACAGTTTTGGGATCATTATCAAAGGAGCTGCGTCAGTACATGCCAGGAAGGACCACGGACGGGTACCCCAGCAGGACACCGTCTCAATACCCCGTGCGCTAAGAGAACGTGTCGCCATGGTCGGCCCTGAGCTTGGGCACATTTCAGCGGGAAGCAGCTTCGGTGAAATGGCCATGTCATGTGACCATCTACCATACAACGTAACTGTTATAGCTGATGAACTAGTGCATGTGCTTCTTATAAACAGAACACTTTACGCGACATCTTTTGGAGCCCACAAGCTGGAGTGGGAAAAAAAGGTCGAATTCGTCAACCAGTCTCCGCTTTTTCGACATCTGACGCCAGCTCTCAAGGACTTGCTCATGGAGAACTTAAAACCGCGCGAGATACAGTTTGGTAATCGCTTCATAAAGCAAGGAGGCGTTTGCAATTGCCTTTTCTTCGTACGTAGTGGATGGGGTAAAGTCGTAGCAGATCTGCGCATCAGCAGGACCCAGTATGAAGCAATCAAAACAACTTCAAGAGGCAAGCAGAAAGCCTTAGGTCGGAAGACTATTAGCTGCGACAGGGAATACATCCACAGTAAGAAACTTGATCCCACTCGCCCTCTTTCAGTCATCGACAGACGAAAGCACATGCAGAAGTTTGGATACGTTGCCATAGAGACGCTTCTGCGGCAGAGAGAAGTGCCCGTGACGTCAACTGGTCCAAATGACGTCATCGGTGACATTGAGGTTATAATGAATTTCCCAACGTACTGTGCGAGCATGGAGTGTATTGAAACCTTGCACGTCTACGAGCTGAGCAAGTTCAATTTTTATCAAATTATTAACCAGAGGAGTACTAAAACATACGATCTATTGCGAAAAGGTGCTCTCGCCAAGCTTCATTTTCGAGCCCAGCGCCTGAAGGATATACCGTTGTACACCTTACTACTCGAGCAAGCCTTATCTCCTGTTGAAGATCCAACCAGGAAATCACCTCTTTGGACAAAAAAGTCCATTCAAATCAAAGCTATGAAGAAAGTGTTAGGCAACATGAGCAAAACCCAACAGACGCCTGGAATGGACAAGCCAATTGACAGCAAGGAAGCCAGGCAGAGGTATAAAAGCTGGAAATTTTTACCCCTGAAACCACTGATTTATCATTTCTATCTTCAACATTAAAAACTACTAATGTAATTGCGACACTGACCGCAAATTGAGGATTTCATGGAAATAATTAACCTGTGCCAAAATTATCATCAAACACAGGGGGTGCTCAATTTCGATTAAAGGAAGTTACCATTTTGAATTTTTCACAGCATGGTAAACATACTAGTCTTGTAGTATCTACACAGTTTCAAATGGCGGAGTCCGAAATCGAGTTTTGCAACCTCGTTACCAGGGCCTTTTCCCTTAGTTCCCAACTAAGGGAAAAGGGCCCTGGGGACGAGATTGCGAGTTTTGAGCAAATTTGGAGGAAATTTCTCTCGAAAGGTTAGGATGCTCTTTTTTATCGTATTTATATGATATATATCATATTGGCATGTTGACATATTTTATTATTAGTGATGGAGATAAAAATCACATGGTTTCCACCAGCAAACTTTCTCATTTGAGAGTGAGTCACCCCTCTCCCCTCCTCTGTGAAAAAGGTTTCGATTCGTAAGCTGCAATGCGCGGTTCAAACACTTTTGTTTTGTTTATAACTTTGGACCCTTTTTAATGAGGAAATGTCAGCAAACATTTCAGTGACATTTTGTTTACCTTGTAGATACAACACAGAAGAGAACATGGCTAATTTTCCGATTCTCCTATCTTCTCTATATCCTTATGAAAAGCCTTACCCTTTCACATTTCTCTTTACAACAACAACAGCGTTTACATCCTACATCCTCTTCATACCGATTACAGCATGAAATATTCGAACGAAATTATGGGAAACATACTTTACCCATCAAACTGCACAGAAAGTGAAATCTCCAGTTATAAGCGCATCGAGACATTCCCATTTTAATTGACCAATATTCGTTCCATTATCTTAGAAGACACAGCGGAAACAAGAGTGATGACAAACAGCTGGACAAGAAGGTAAAAATAATCGTGCGCAGTAGCTATAATGTAGGCTATCACAAGGTAATCCTAATTAACACTACACAACAGGAACACTACACACTACACACTACACACTACACACTACACACTACACACTACACACTACACACTACACACTACACACTACACAACAAGAACCGAACTGTTTCTGAAGGGCTGGGAATCCAATCAGTGTTGATGGTATCAACCAGACATTCATTCAGTCAGCTAATCAGTCTTTAAGTCAGTCATTTAGCTTTTAATATACGTAGAAAGTTATTTCGTCTGTTGACCAATAGTACCAATAAAAACAATAATAGAAAAATTATATTTTTTGTCTTGGCATGAATTCTTTGCCAAAATGGATCGCGACGTTTCCACTGCTAGATGTAGTCGATGTGGTCACCTGAAGGAGAAAAGGGTCATGATATATAGCTCAGTAAGCTTTAAACCAATCAATAGTTGGAGTGAAATTGTACGGTTGACAACATATCCATGTATATTCATCGTCACGTGATGTGTAATGGTTGAATCGTAGCTCAGACAGGCTTTTACGTGAGTGAATCGTTCTTGAAAGAAAGCCTAATGAATGAATCCTTACAAAAGAAACCTTAAGAAATGATGGATTACATTGCAAATTTCCGCTTCTTTTACAGTCTGCTCCCAAACAGTATACCGTCGCGGAATTCCGTGCTTTAAAGAAGAAAATGCAAGCGATGGAAGGAATAGGTGGTTGGCGAACTTTGATTTAATGTCATCCGTCTCTATCGAATGGGATCAATGTTAAATCCTCGAACCCAACAGAACATCTTTTCAAGAGTTTGTAACTGACAGGGAAAAGATTGTGTTAATTCAGAGATCTAGGTACATGCTAGTACCGTGGAATATGCAAGGATTCAGTGTCATCTGACGGTTTTTGGCCAAGAAGTCAACTGGTCAAAAAAGGATTACGTCTTGACAACTGATCAATTTTGACGTTATTTGTTTGCTCTATTCCTTTTTTCCCAGCGCATTACTTTTAAATCAATCTGTCGAACCTAGCCTGGTATGTGTAGAACGCTGTGCAAAACTAAGTTTTATCAAAGTTCAGGTGAAATAAGAATTTCAACCACTTATTCAGGCGCGTAGCGTGGTAATTTTTTCAAGTACGCACAAGTACATATCTAGAAACCTAAGTAAACTGAGCGAAAAATACTGCATTATTTATTTCTTGTTTGAAATAGTTGTGTGAATACAAGCACAGAAGAAAGCGTCTTGCTCCTATTTTGAGCAAACTTGGCGCAAACACAACATTGTTTTCAAATTTTTCTGGTCACTTCAAGTATTCACGTACGTATATGCGTAGAGGACGCTACGCGCCTGTTATTGTGATGTGGTGACAGTATTTCTTATATAAACGGAGCTTTTGGATAGTGTGTGTTTTGGTACAGTGTTATCATCCGAATTCTCGTTAGATTTACCCACTGGGTAATGCCCGAGTTATCTCCGCGGAACTATTCCCAATCGCCTTCTTCTTCATCACAGGATAGCCTTACGACTGCGCCTGAAGAAGTCTTTTCACTGAAGAAGGAGCTTCCCAAAGTGCGGCCATACTTTGCAGGGTTTGACCGAACTTGTTTGACATATTTGTGACGAAACCGTTGTATACGATTAGAAATTCCGCTACGTCCCAATGATTGTTCCTCGCAGCGGCCATCGCAGGCGACTCTCCAAATTGATCTCTGTGAAGCAAAATAGCAAACCTCAGGCACTGTTTCCATGAAGCGACGATGTTTGTTCTTAAGTTTCTACTAACAAGCGACACCTGAGAACTGACTTAAAAAGTTCTGTTGCCACAAACCACTAAATTGACCACCAAAATGTTTCATAACTCAATAGCGTACTGCTAGGTTTGGGAACTCCGAAAAAAGAAGAAAATTAAGATTCGTCGGATCTCATCTGTTGCAAAGAGAGATCGAGAAGTTTTTCGCGATGTTTTTGAACGTCTCATATATAGACATTTTCACATGAGCATTAGTACTCCGTGTAATCTATAAATTAAATTTCCCACGCATTTGTTGTAGATCATATGTTTAGCTTGCACAATACAAATCCGCTCTATTAATGAATGATCAGTGGTGCATGTTGCAATCAGGAATATTTATGGTAGATCTTCTGCCTGTGATGAATATACGTTCAGGCCAGCTTTTCCTGTAACAAATGAGATTGTCCCCCCCCCCTCTCCTCCTTATTGATACCTGTATGCTTCTTTACAAGTTACCAGATAGGACGATAGTAAAAATTAAGAGGTCTTCCTGCTAAGTAAGTGTCTCTTTTGATGCTTCTATTCTCAACTATATTTTTCATCGAGTTGAAACAAACAGAATGAGCTTTAATTTGGATATATCAACAAAGTTGAAATGGTAAATTGGCCACCGTAATGATTACAAAAGCTGACGTTTCGAGCTTTTTCGAGCTTCGTCGAGCGTTAGCCCTTCGTCGAGCGTTAGCCCTTCGTCGGAGCGAACCATTACGGTGGCCATTACGGTGGCCAGTTTACCATTTCAACTTTGTTGATATATCCAAATTATTTCGTTATTCCCACCGACGCAGCCCCAAACAGTTTCTTTCGAAACTTTCAGCCTTTATTCAGAATAAGCTTTAACTTACGTTTGGTCAGCTTTGCCTCCAGCCTCCACAAGTTTCTTAGCGATGTTCACATCCGCTGCACAATGTAACGGCGTCTGCTCCCTCAAGGTCTTCACATTGACATCACGAAATACGTCAGTGAGCAGATCGATGATGTGAAAATTGCCCTTAGTTTCCGCCGCTACATGCAGCAAAGTCTTGTTCCAGGGACTAACACGAATCTCTTGGAGTTTATCCTTAACTAAATCTTGCACATCTATGAGAGTTTGTAAAAGATCTCTGTCTCCGCCCTTGATCGTGTCGGTGAGCAAGCGCTCGCAGGACATTGATCCAACGAAACGATCCGTATTAATTCCATGTTCAATAAGTAGCTTAATCACACACAATTTCTTCGCGAGGACTGCGATTTCCAGAGCGGTGTTTTGATAGACATCGCTGGCATTGATATCAGCTCCTCTATGTAGAAGTAATTCCACAGTAGACACATGACCTCTTTCAGCCGCTAGTAGAAGTGGCGTTTGACCATTCAACTTAACGCTATCAACCCCAGCACCCTTGCTTAGCAAGAGAACTATTGTTTCGTTATGTCCATTTTGTGCTGCGAAATGAAGGGCTGTGCAGCCTGTGAGGCTCCTTTCCGAACCTTCATAGGTGTCACCTGTGGGACGATTGACATCGCATCCATGTTCGATGAAAAAAAGAGCAATCTCTCTACGGCCATTTTGAGAGGCATAATGAAGTGACATGAGCCCACAGTCGTCTTCGTCGTAAATACAAGCTCCAGCTCGAACCAGAAGCTTCACCACATCAAGGGAGTTGTTAGCCACCGCAAAGTGCAAAGCTGTCCTTTGTTTGTTGTCTCTAGGGTCCATCCTTGTTCCACTACCAAGAAGAAACTCCACAACCTCTGACTTACCAGACGCACATGCCGACATGAGAAGTGTCCTACCTCGCTGGTCAGTTTTCTCGAGACAACTTTTCCTGTTTTCTTTGAGTTTGGTACATCGAGCAAGGACTTTTTGCAGCTGGCTTAGACTCCCCTTGCTGACAACTTCGCGTAAAAGAGATCTCCTTTGGAAATTTTTCACGGTCTTATTCAAAATGTACAATACATGTGCAGCGTCGCTGTTTGAGTTTTCCTTTACAGGAATCTGGTCAGGAGAACAGGTCATCAGGGATAAGTTAACGAGTGTGCGCATGCGAGATACAAGAAGATCCGCTGTACCCGTTGTAAGAAGTGCTATGGAAACGTCAAGGCCACTCGGGCTAAACCTCAAAATCGTTTCCGTCGTTGACAAATCACCTTTCATGACTAAGGCTTGTAAAACACTTAAACCGTTTGGGCCATCTGGATTTGTTAGTCTGTAGAATGCCTGCATCTTCAGATTATCCTTGAAAGAAGAAAAGCAAAAACGCAACTAAACGACTGGGAACCTAATCCACTAGTGTGCGTGTTTCTCTGTACAGTGTAGGCAAAGTTCGAAGTACGCAAAAGTATTGTAATCTCCCTTTTGACTATCACTGTCAAAGCGATCTTATTTTATTCACTTACGGTGCTAAACTTCAAGTAAGACATTTTTAAAGTTACTTCTTAAAGTTACTTCCCACCTTCAGAGGCCGAAAAAATCGTGTCTTTTTTTTGTTTTATTGGACTAGATTGAAGTCAGACATTTTACCTAACCTTTACAAAAAGAAAAATTCAAAAATCTCAGAAAGCGTCCGACTAATTGGTAGGCTCGATTACCAGCCGCTGTACGAGAATCGGAGCCCGCGCTCCTCCCCGAACCCACAGACACCCTCGATCTCTTTTTAGAATCTTTTTCTTCGCAGCCACAGAGGACACATCCAGTTTTCGAGTTAAATTTAGTCGCCTTATTAGCGATTATATGTACGCCATCCATTCGGATTGGAGTCCTATTTCACTTTCGGTGAAATTTGAGAACGCTTAGATTAATTTTTTTCAAATTACGTCACAGACGTGGATGGCCGCTCGTGCGTCCGGCGGTCTCTTCTCGGGGAAGAACGAAAAAGACCGGACTCGAGAGAGTAGCGGAAATCGAGCCCAGGAAAACGTATTTTCAAATAAAAGATCAGGAGGGTGTCATAATCACGTCAATAGACGAACTCCTTGGGGAATATCCGCGGCAATTTCATGTTAGGGGCCGACCATTTAACTCTTGAGGAGGGGGGGGTGGGTGATTTTGAAAAAAAATTTCCTGCAAGCGCTGGTTGGAAGAAAAAATTGCATGCAGCCCAAATGTAACAGAAAAAAGAGCATTTAGAACGGAAAAAAATATCCTGCACAGCAGATTGCTAGAACAAAAATTTCTTGATGACCAGAAATCACCCACCCCCTCCTCAGAAGTTAAATGGTCGGCGCCTTCTTTGCATTTACATTTACAGACTTATTCGCAAGCTCCTAACTAATAACTAAAGCATTACAACAAAGAAATATAAAAATAGGGGAAATAAGATATATCTATATATACAGTGCGCACTTGACAAAGTTCACACGTGGAAGTTCTGTGCTAGAGGAAAGTCTTTCTCATGGATAAAAAACATAAATCAAAATTAGAGAGGAGTCCTTGGGCAAAGGAAAAGAAAAAAACAGGCCCAAAGAAGAGAGAAATGACACCGTTTTGTCAGGAAAAAACAGTTCTGGCAATCCTCTCCACGCTGGCATTCAAATTGCGAACAAAGAAGGCGCCATCCGACAGATCTGCATTTGTCGTACATAAGGTTAAAAACAAAGTTTCCTTTTCAATAAGCAAGTACCGGCCTTGATACAAAGACATAGGCAATCGCCTCGAATCGTATGAAATCATGAATAAACCTTCCAAGGGAATTCATTTCAGTGAAAAGAGTATTCCTTAAGCTGTCTGGAAACTGCAGTCCAATAAATTTTCACCTAGTCTCAGAAATTAAAAGGGGCTCCTGTAATCTTTCTTGTAATCATCGTCATTGGCTTCAATCCTATTCGATTCAGTTCCCGTCGCTAAATATTCCTTGAACTAAGACATTTCTTTTTTTTTCTCACCACAGGGACACTTTGTGGATACCTCTGGTTGTGAGCTGAATAATTATGCTCTCTTTGAGTCTTACTCTATTAAAACCTTTCATATGATGCAAAGCATTACTTGATAACAACGTAAGTCCATTTTCTCGTCCTCTACCACAAGCTACTATAAGCCAATCGATCGCAATCATTTCAGTGATTCATCTGAGACCTTCATCTTATTCCGTTACAGTCGAACCTCGATTAACTTGACTCGTTGTGACTAGACGAAACAGTCCGGATAATCGAAAGTCCGGATCGGATAACCGAGAATATGAATACTAATGAGGAGCAAAAAATGATCTAATTAAGGAAGCGACAAATTGGTTTTTATCTCCTTTCAATCGACCTGTGCAATGACGCAAGGCAGTCGTACTTTGTTTACAACCTTTCATTTTTTTTTTTAAGCGAGATTATCAATTAATCACTTTGAACGTAAGTTAAATTCTAAAACCTTTTCGCCAACAAAATAAATCAACTTACCGGCTCTCTTATTTTGCATTCTTTGCCAACCATTCTGAATTTTTCCATTCCTTTGAACGTTGAGTAGCCTGGTAATAACAAAGTTTCAACTTAACAACAAGCCGGGTGTATGCAAATTTTCATTGTTTACACCAGCTTAACCATAAGCCCCAGACCACCTGATGAGTGGTCACGGTATCGCTGGACGCGCGAAGGATTTTCAACAAATCGACAGTGGTTTAGCGTGGTCTGTGCTCCCATCGACAACGACATTTGTCATCACAGTGGTCAAAATGTCGTGAACTCGCACAGTGCAGCTTAGTGAGTCCGCAACAAATAAAACGATTCTTTCAGAGTGTCACCGTTGCATGACACTTTGACGCAAGCAGCGTTGTCCGTACTCATATCGACAGCGGCCGGAAAATATTGGCCAATCACATTGCGACATTACTGCCAATTGTGGTAAAAATATAGATTCTTTCAGTTTCACTAACAGCCTTTCGCGGCGAGCAACCAAGCCTTGCTGATTGCTAAAATTTCAAGCGGATGGTGTTCAGAAAATCTCCATGAATTGCAAGTAAATTTAAATGCTGCGTAAAACGTAAAACGTTAATCGCATTTACCGTAGGTAGTGATCTCAAGGAGGTAAATGGAAATTCTACCCCAGCAACCTTCATTTTCTATGACTTCTTGACAAACCATTAAATTGTAACTTGTGGTAACTATGGCAACTATGACTCAGGTCAAGGACGATGTGCTTCAGTTTCGATAGAAAGGAAAATAAAATTTTAGGTCTCAACGCTGCATTGAGAAAAGAGAGACAGCTCAAACTGAAGTAGTCACACAGTGGAATAGTTTTTTATTACAAATTTTAAAAATAAGAAAGAGTACTCATCATGCACAATTAAAATACAAACATCGTGAACAACGTTATGAAAGAGAAGCTCAACTTCCCACTTCTCACGAATAATTACCATTTCGAGAAATTTACATAATTAGTTTACTTTTTGCATCCTAGTGTGCCTTCTTTCGAGTTTTTCTGCTACAAATTTCGCAGACGAATGTGCTTTTACGTGTCTTTTATCTTTTAACAAAAACGTCGTTAACAGCGACAGAGTGGACCGTGTAGCGACTGTATCTGACTGTGTTGCTTTATGCGTCATAGTTTCAGACTGTTTTTCGGTTTTGGACCCAGCCAAAGTTACATAACGGCCTTTTACTGGCTTCGGGGCGTTTTCAAGTTTCGAGGGTGGATTTCTGAAGAGGTCTTTTTGTTGATCAACTTTGTTGTCATCTAGTTTTCTATTTTTAGATCTGGTCACTTCAAGTGATGGTGATGATCTGTTAAAATGACGTGTAAACGCGAACATTGATAAACATTAACAATGATGAAAAGTTTACAAATGGACACCATTTGGAGAAATTGGCAGAGAAGGACGTTGAAAGTTACTCATTTGTTATTAGCTGGTTCAGGACCAGGATTTCTTTCGAAATATGAAAGTCTGTAAATGATACTAGCATCAGAGGATCGCGACAGCCCTTTTTTAGAAGTGTAGTTGTCGATGATTTTAAAGTAAATTGTACAGCTGCTGACCTATTTTTATGAAATAATTTCAGATTTGTAAACCTCTTTCTGTAACGAATTTCGTAATTAGCCCTTTAGCCTTATTGTTTTAATAAATAGATGACTTGCCTTATTGTAGATTTTACATTAATATCAGCACAAGATTAAACTTCTAGTTTTATTTTTAGTTTAAATTACGTAGTGACATTTTTTCCTGAATTGTAAATAGCCCGATTAGCTTAATTTTTATTTTGATACTAGTTATATTAGTTCTTAGTATAATTTCAGATCTGAGCAAAGAGTTTCCAGCAATCTGATTGGTCGAGCGGTTTCTTATATGACGCTTATAAACCGCTCCACGCGGTGTATATAAAATGTTAAAATAAAATGTTGATAAATGTTACTAAAATGTTATGATTTTAGAAATTTCTCTGTTGTTCAGCTCTGAAATTATGCTAAAACAATTATTCGCCTCAGGTTTGGTGAATATTGTCGAATAATCCCCGAGACGATTATTCAACGATATTCACCTCACCTTCGGCGAATAATTAATTGTTAGTTAGTAGTTTAGCGTTTTAATTATAAAGTATCCCTGTCGTTATTTAACCAAGTGTTTAACCCAAAACTCTTCACACCTTAACATCAGTATGCATATTCTCCATACTGTTCTTCATGCATTTTCCAAGATGCTGACAAGGAGAATTTGTTTGACAATCAGTGCAAGAGCCTCGTTAATTTGGTGATCATTATCATTATTCTCGTTACTTTAATGTGTGATTCAGGGGTGATATTGTAAGGAGAAATTAAGAAGCTAGTCACTCTTAGAGGTCAGGGAGTTGAGGAACATGGGGGGAGGGGGTCAGGAGAAATTAGAAGCTAGTCACTCTTAGGGGTCAGGCTGTTGAGGAACATGGGGGGAGGGGGTCAGGAGAAATTAGAAGCTAGTCACTCTTAGGGGTCAGGCTGTTGAGGAACATGGGGGGAGGGGGTCAGGACAAATTAGAAGCTAGTCACTCTCAGGAGTTAACAAGCTTAAGGTTTCACACTGAACCGTTCTTTATTTTCTCAATGGCCGGTGTCATTCAACTCATGACGTCATCAGCCATGAAGCAAATCATGTGATGTGGAGGGAAGAAAAAAAATGGTGTGTGTGTGTGATTTTTTAGAGTTGGTATTATCTATTATTTGAGATTCCATTGGTTTTGAACAACTTTGACGGACAATCATTTTCCCTTCCTCGTGAACGGGTATATGCCACTGTCTGCTGCATTGTTTTTCAAATAGAAGTTGATTTTCATACATAAACTTCGTAATGGGCCTTGCTTCCTATAGTGGCTTAATGGTACAACATCGGAGCGCGGAATCAGAAAGTGTGAGGCTTGATTCCTCATGGGAACTCAGAATTTTTTATCTGCCCCACGCTCTTGAGAAGACGAAAAACATCTTGCTCTAAAATATGCATTGTCATTATTTCAGTTTTTTTTTCTTTCTTTTACTTAGCGAGAAAGTATAAACTTACTTGCCCTGTTTGGGTGGTGTCTCTGAGTCGGGCTTTGGTTCTGGTTCGGATGTTGTTCCTATCAGTCGTACAAAGAAAGCGCAGAGGGCGAGAGCAGCAAGTAACACCAAGTAGAAAGTTGAAGAAAAAAACACTTCTGCCATTTTGAAGCGGAAAGGAAAACCTGTTGAAAATGTGATTTTTAAAATCGTGAACCGATTCGAGTCGAAAATCGTTCTAAGTGCTAGTACTTTTCACAGTAAAAAGATGGTTTCTAGGAAACAAGTTAAATGCTTTTTGTCCCTTGTAAGGTGTAGTTGAACTTTGATCAAGGAGGAGTCCTTTTTGTACCACCAAACCCTACTGTTGCTTGATTTTACGATGTTAAAAATAAGTTAAGTTTAATTTAAAAGAAAAGGCAAAGGAAATGATTTAACCAAACAAACGAAGCCAGGCCTACAAATAAAAAAAAAAAACTTAGGAACCACCCTGCCGAAGCTGGTTTCAAGAGTAGCCTCGAGCTTTACAGTGCAGCTATAGCCACGGGTTTGGTGCGTCGTTAAGTAAGCACAAGGAGTTAATTATCCAGGTTTACTTTGTTAACTTAACTTCCTCTAAAGTCATGTGATAAATATAGGAGTTATTCATCGTTTGTGAATAGATTTTACTCGCATGTTTCCCCGAGAAAAATATTGACTGATGGAGAACTGATTACCGCAGGATCTGGTCTTGAGAATATTTATGTACGTAGGAGAGGATACTTCATCCTCTCTTGATCAAAGTAAGGGAGGATAAACGAGCCTGATCAATGTTTAAACCTTTATGACTCCTAAGATCCGATTACTAAGTCTCGTTAACGATTTTCAGGTATAGCCTTGAAAATTAGACAGAAGAATTTGGTGCTCCGTCAGGAAAACACCATTTCGCACAGTAATTGTTACATTTCATTAGTTAAGAAAAGGTGAAAGACTGGCCATACAGTTGACGCAGTTAGCTTCGTTGTGAGAAATTTAGAATTCCAAATTTAAACAACGAGAAAATATTGATCTGCTCGAGATACATTTGTCCTAACACACCCTTGAAAAAGAATACGCTCTTAAAAGAAAGGGAAAGAGAACGCTACTTGAAATAAAGAGTGAAAAAAACACCTTGACTCACCTGCAGAGAAGGAAGCTTGAGAAAGTTTTTGCCGTAGAATCTTAATGGCAGCCGACTGAAGGAAGACTTCAACGCGCATCACGAACCGAACCTTTTCAAGCCACTGAAAAGCAAATTGAGTGGCAACAATGGCTGGCTACGTCATAATCAAATAAGAATTCTAATCCCGCGCGTATGTCCGCGCGTACACGCGCAGGTTCCTTCTTCTCACGGATTGCAGGCACCTTCCCTGCCCCCTCCTCCCCCCTCATTTCAATGTCCTTCGTACAGCCCCTAACTCAAGAAGCTGGGAACGACTAACAACCAGCCCTTACCTCCGCCCCTAATAAATATTTTTGCTTGACCTCGAAGGACAAAATGGCGGCTGCCAGTGAAGTGCGATGGCCCAACGAAAAGGAGCAGTACGAACTACAAGAAGTGATAGGTGAGATTATTGCGGTATTTATTTCAAATTTAACTTCACAGGTTTCTCCAGATGTAATTTTTCTGTTCAGGGTATGGTGCGACGGCCGTTGTTCAAGCTGCGAAGTGCATCCCTCGCAATGAACGTGTCGCTGTAAAGAGGATCGATTTGGAAAAGTGCGGCGCAAGTATAGATGAAATGATGGTAAGTTAGCTGCTGTTGATAGAAGGAATTTTTCATTTCAATTATGAGCTAATTTTGTCTAATTTGCATCTCTGATAATCGTTAAGTGAGGTTTCTTGCTGCGGTACTTTTCCCGGACCTACAACTGGCCGATCATATGATAACAAGAAAATCTACTGACAGATCGAGGTCGTTACTGACCAATCGACATCTGCTGGTTTCTTGTGGACCAGTGATTGTATTGAATAGCCTGTGTTTGAAGTTACTTTTACAGAAATTTACAACGAAAACGAAAATAACTGTGAAAATTATCGTTGTCCATCCCCCAAAACCCGCTCGCAAGAAGAATTTCAGATCACGTCTTTCAAATAATAATAATAATAATAGAATCGATCACCAGAAGGCTTAATTAATTTACCGTCTTAACAGCGATTCACAGCTCACGCTCGGTTGATTTAAAGACTGTGTGTTTATATTATCAAGTGAAGAAAACATAGCTCTTAAGGTATTGGATGTGGACAATTTTTCAATAAATTAGCAGCTTCCGAACCGTCTTTGCTGTTTTGTTTTTATTGATCTTGATTTACCTTTGTTTTTGTGCACAAATTTTCACTTTCGTTTGATTTCGGCATATGTCGACGTTCGCATATAAAGTTAATTTGATGTAAGGGCACTTTGTGGCTAGTTTCTTGAAAAGTATAATTTAGTGGATTGAAAAAAAAACAAACAAAAAAAAACAGTGGTCACAAGATGGAACGCAGCCTAATGAAAACTGAGAACCCAGACTTGGCTTTCACAAGAAGTTTCAAATGAAGCAACCATTCTTAGTGTTGTAGTTGCTGCAGTCACGGTGAAACTTCATGTAGAGATCAACCTCTCTAGGGGCGCACAAAAAAAATTCCCTATTCCCATCAGATAATTAGTTTAAGATTTGATTGCACTGAAAGTTCTATAGAATTATCATTTGAAGGAAGTTTTGTGGATTGCATCTACAAGTAGTAGAGTGACTGTATTACTCTCTCCTGCAGAAAGAAATCCGCACCATGAGTCAGTGTAATCATGAAAATGTTGTAAATTACTACACATCATTTGTGGTGAAGCAAGAACTGTGGATAGTCATGAGGTTGCTGAATGGAGGTTAGGAAATTATACTTTAAACAATTGTCACCATGGAGATTTTAAAGATGTTGTGTTACAATGGTTTTAACCATTTCCCCTAGGGACATGCAGGAAAATTTCTCCCAACAAAAGAAGAATCAGTAATATGAAAAGGAGAAAGGTGGCTTCTGATTCTACTGATTCTGAGCAACTCTTTAACTGATAAACTAAGGCTACATTTTTTAAGGAAAGTATATAGAGGATATTACATGGCCGCGCAGGGATACAAATTTTATCTTCAAGTGCTGAAAGTATCTCTCCCTCGTGAGAGATACTTTCAGCACGAGAAGATAATATTCGTATCCCCAAGCGGCCATGTAATGTTCTGTTTATTATATAGATACTGATGAAATTTCCACATAGAAGGCAACTTTTTTTATTCATTTTCGAAACAGCAATTGGGTAATTATGTTGGTAACCATGGCCACACCAATATCCTCACACGTGAAAGATAAAAATAGTATCTTCACTGCGCGCGGTGAAGATATGATTTTTTGGTAAAAGGATAAATCCTGGCATTTCATCAGTATCTATATAATAAATATAAATAATACAACACTAGACATCAGTAGTTATGTGACATCTATATAGCCATTTTAAAGGAAGTGTTTAGAAATGAAATTTTAATTGAAGTGCAGGTTACTGCATTTCTCCCCTTTTCCCATTCATTGTCGTATAGGGGAACAGGGGGGCACAATGGTGAGGGTGCTTGCCTCCAACCACTGTGGCCTGGGTTTGATTCTTGTACCTGGATTGAGTTTGTTTTTGGTTCTTGTCCTTGCTCTAAAGGTTTGTTTTTGGGTCCTTTTGTTTTCCTCTATAAACCAACATTCTTATTTCTAATTTGACCTGGAAACATTGGATAAGAGGGCCAAGTTGTGGAATGTGGATTACTAAACTCCACTTTTACAAACACAGACAACAATGTGTAACATTGCTCAGGGGGGTGGGGAGGGATTGAAAGTAAGGGCACTGGGGATAAAATTGTTTGTTGGTCTAGGATATTGCAATTTCAAGTGCAGAAAATTGTTGCTGATCAGAGTTTCAGATCTGGTTTGGATTGAGTTATTGAAGTTTAATGCACATGAAAAGTTACACAAAAAATTCCTATTCTTTAATTTATACAATGTCATGTATCTGTGGTATTCTACCTTCACAGCACACTACTGCAGTAGAAAGAGGAGTTGTTTAACTCAATCTCATACATTCACAGTGTGCTCTGTCAAATAAATTTTGATTAAACTAGCAACTGAAGAAAATGTTGATATCACTCTTTTTAGCTAGTTGGAGATCATTTTGACTTGAAACTTAATGAAAGATATCCTTTCATCGGTATATGGGTTTATGTTGTTGGTTTTTTCTAAATGTTTATTTTAGGTTCCATGCTTGATGTGATCAAACACCAGAAAAAGAGGGGTCACCTTGTAGATGGTGTCCTTGATGAGGCTGTTATAGCATCTGTTATGAGGGAAGTTCTAAAGGGTCTAGATTATTTCCATAGCCAGGGGCTAATACACAGGTACTGCATGATCCATGTATAATTATATAGGTATACAATAGTATAAATAGGTTATTTATTATATCTAATATGCCAAATTGTTATTTCAGTGCAGGCAAATTTCATGGTTATTTATGTACTGGTTACTGGGAGTGCGTGATAAGTTTGTGAAGTGGAATTGGCACGTCCTTCAATAAATGATGAAATTTCATTGCCATGTCACGGCTTTTCTTTGTTTGATTTATCTAATAAACTTGAATCAATATTCGCCAGCCATTCTGACTCTTTGTTGTCAGAAAAATAAATTAAACTGTCTACCATATTTGTCGCTTGCACGATGCTAGAAAACCTGTCTAACCAGTACTCTGGAGTACAAATACCACCTGATATTTGTACTTGTCTTGGACGTTATTTGTACTCTGTGGAGTGTAGCTGGATAATAAATTTGAATACTGTTTATGTCAAGCCCGTTCTAATATCAACAAATACTTTCAATGGAGTGTTGAAAGCAGTCAGGGTCTGTTAAGTTTCCATTCAATATACTGTAACCTGTTATAAAATTGTTATTTAAAGGTCTTGTCACTCTGTTGACCAAACAGACCCAAATATAAAATCATTTTTGAGTCTCTCGCATTTTCCAGAGCATTAGGCTCTTGGATTGTTTTTTAGTTCTCCTTGGCACCTGTTTCAACCAAATCAAGTTAAATATTGAGTAATTATGGGTTAAATCATCACCTACTCATTACATACATTTACCAAAAACAATGTTTTATGAGTGTATCATATAGTATTGATTACCTTCATCTTTCTTATTCATCAATTATTTTTAGGGATGTTAAGGCTGGTAACATTCTACTGGCTACTGATGGTACAGTTCAACTGGCTGGTAAATGAAATGAGATGTTATTTATCTGTTCCGGTGTAGAATTATGTTTCTGATTAAGAAAAGCATTAATTGTTGTTTCTTTAATTAACTGTTTTTTTTTTGTTTTTTTTGTTTTTTTGTTGTGGCCTTCCCTGTTAATTGTGCCTGTATGTACAGTAGTCTGGTATTTTACATGGTAAGCAGCATTATTTGGTTTTCATCTCCAAATAGTCTGAGCTCCACCAATGTTTTCTTTCCAGAAGAGGAGGAATCTTGTTTTAAATAGACCACTTAGTGTCTCAAGTGCCTCCTCTTTAAGGTGTCACAGTCATAACATTGTACACGTGCCTTTAACTATCCTGGCCCCATTCACATGTAAACCAAGAGTTTGATACAGAGGAGTGCGATTTTTTTCCTGTAGACTTTGGTGTTAGTTCAGTGATAAGTGATTATGGGGACAGGTCAAGGCCAAAGGTTAGGAAGACATTTGTTGGCACACCATGTTGGATGGCACCAGAAGTCATGGAACAGGTACAGCTGTGCAATACCTTTTATTCTTGATATTCATTAATACTGGCAAGGAGTCTGAGTCTCCTTGAAGTTCATGCTGTGCAGTTTGTATTTTTGCTGTACTTACCTGATTAAGTGCCTATGGACCTTTAGAGTTGGGTGCTTATTCAAGGTGGGCATTTATTAACTTTTCCTACCTCCAAAGTTGGCACCTACTTGAAGTTTGGCATTTATGAAATAAGTATATTGTATGCAAACTATATTTGATTTTTTAACTGTGGGGTGTGTGTACATTTTGTTTGACGCAATGGTAAAACCAAACCTTGAAATATGAGGATGGGTGGTTACATGCCCATGTTACCTGCTGTCAGTAAGCAGAAACAAGAATTAATAGTAATAGTAATAGAATCTTTATTTATAGAGGACAAGAATTAAAGCTAAAAAGCTTGTGGGGTAGAGTACTTAACAAAAATAATTATTATCTAGCCAACTGTTTATTATACTAAGACACATTTCAAACTAAATAAGAAACTATAATACAGTAAAACATTCAATTTTCCTCTAAACTTAAAAATACTTGTAATCAGTTAATCTATTCCTAGCCATCAAATTCCAGCAGTGCTGTTTCCCTAACATCAGTCAATTTCTTCCACACCCTCTTGTTTGCGCTCATCTTTGCTATTTAAAGCCTGGAACAATGCCCATTCTCATAATCTGAAAGAAAGGAAAATGATATCTGTTTGAAACTGGTTGGAAATGGTTTTAAAGAGGGAGAAATTTGAACCACATAATTTGTCTGACTGGTGTATGTTCACTGAATGCTTTTTCAAAAACTGCTTAGAATGAGATCTATTGTTCCACCTAACATGTCAATACATCTGTGTGGAAAGCTAGGGTATGGAGATGTATCATGTCAGATTTCTGATCCACCATAGTTAAAGATCACAAGGGTGAGGGACAATGTTAACTGTGAAATGGTTATAATGTATAGTTAATGCATACAGAATGCGTTTACATTGCCAGGTTCATGGCTACAACCACAAAGCTGATATTTGGAGTTTTGGCATTACAGCCATTGAGTTGGCCACTGGAATTGCTCCATATGCAAAGTTTCCAGCTATGAAGGTAGGATTATAAGATTACATAGAAGAAGCTTGTATTATAATGTACTTGCACATCTACCTACTATAAATGTACATTGACTGACTAGTGGGTATTTTCTCGAAGAAAACTATTTTTAACTTGATCAAAATAATCAACGCTACAGTACAGAATTGAATCTGTCATCATAATAATAGTTAAGTGTAGGAAATAAATAAGAGGGGAGGCCAAACCCAAAAAATAAGCAGAGATGGTATGTTAAGGATGAACAAGATTTATAGGGATTGAAAATGGTGGGCTGGAAAAGTTCAGGTAAATCGGGAAGTACAGCGTTGCTCAGTTTTCTGTTTTCCAGAGGTTGTGACACCATACAGGGCAGCTGAGTAGCACACCACTGTACTTCAAGGCATATTCTGAATCTCGATGGGTTTAAGTACATTGTGTCTTTATTCAAAGCCTTATTTTAAAATCTTTAGATCCACAGATTATGAAAATCTGTGACGAGATTGTTTGAAAGCAAGCCATGTGTCAATTTCATCCTCATGTTACAAAATACACATAAGTCTTGCCAATATATGTACTAGTAAATCCATTTCTAAATGTAATATTTCAATCCTTGTCAGGTGCTGATGTTAACTTTACAAAATGACCCACCCTCTCTTGACACTGTGGCACAGAATGAAGGCAACAAAGACAACTACAAAAAGTATACCAAAATATTTAGAAAGATGATAAGCAGTTGTTTGGTAAAAGATCCCACTCAGAGGTAGGGTATTGTACATGGTAAACATACATTTAGTTTATCTCTGTTACTTCAACTAAAGCGAAAAAGGATGACCACCCCTTGTTTTCTTCAGGCCCCAGTTGGTGAAAGGGCAAATAACGCTATCCAACGGATAAATCGCTATCCAGCGGATTAGTGCTAACAAAACGTACTGCGCTAGACTGCGCTATACACTGGATAGAGAGTTTTCCAGTGGATAGCGTTGTCCTCTCTTCGAACAACTGGGGCCAGCAAAATAAAAGAGAGCCCTCTCTCTACCCACTCAAATATATACCCTGAACTTTCCTTGTTTTTCCACCCTCTCCTCCCCTTCCAGTCAAACTGACAGCGCACTGACCTGTATTGTTTGTATTATTTTTTTAAAGACCAGATGCTTCTGAACTTCTAAAGCATCCCTTTTTCAAGAAAGCCAGGGTACGTTTATGAAGTATATTTGATACTTTCTAGGAGTGCCCATGGGCTAACCACAAGTAATGAGCACTTCCAATTTGAAGGTTGTCCGTCCTAAGCACAAGAGCACAGGCGTGCAACGATATCCAATTTAAAGGTTGTCTGTCCTAGGCATAAGAGCACAACGTTCAACGATATCGAATGTCTAGTGGAAATGGTATTTACCATTCTCAGTCCTTGAATCTCTCGCTGGTTTAAATTTTAACGCAGTAGAGGGTGCGCATAGTCTCAAGACTATATCCTTGTTATGTACTAATAAGCTTAATTACGCACGCAATTTGATTGGATCTTACGATCTATTGGAGGACAGATGCAAAGGTGAAGTCACCATTAATTTTTTTTTTTTTTTGCTTTATTATTAAAAACAAATAAATCCATGTTGTCTTGGGTCTGTTCAGCAATAATTTAGACAAGACGCCAAAATGTACACCAGTGACGCACTCGACTGCCACTTTTTTGTTCTTACCACATTTTGACCTCTCCAATGGACTAGCATCCCATCCAGGGGGGAGTAGAAATACTCCTAGTCGCTTCATGCTACAGAAACCGGAGTTAAGCACCGGCCTGATAAGCCACTAGGCTCGTAAACAGACTTTACCTTTACCTTCATTTTGACCTCAACTGTAATCTATTGAATTCTTGATCCACTGAGCAGACTCACCGCAACATGGTACGCTACATGGCTAGAGTTGCGTTCAAAGGTTGCTGCACATGTATTTTAGTGTCATGTTTGTTTAATCTAATTAAATATTAACAATGCTGTATTACCGTTATAAATAAAGTTACTTACGTCAGTGAGCTGAAAAGTCAGATAATGATTGCCATTACCGAGGATCTGCCACTGTTATTTGTTTCCAGTTTGTTTTTCTTGGAGTTGTGAGTAGGGGATTGGATTGTTTGTTTTATCTTGATGTTTTGCTCTTCCAGGAAAAGGATTTTTTAGTGGAGACATTAGTCCCACTAATGCCTTCTCTGGGTGAAAGATCACAAAAGGTACTTTGGAAAAATTAATCACTTTAGATTTAATCACTTTCCCAAGATGTGATTTGCAATTCTACCATAGAGCTGTTATCATATCCTTGTTAGAAGGCTGAGAGAATTTGGTGTCTGGTCAAGAGAAGTACCTTCAATCGACACCCTTGTGTAATCTCAAAACATGGGTGCGGGATATTGAATTGAACTTTAAGGGGAAAAGTTACATTTTTATCACTGTGGAGTTCGCGGATTTAACAGACATGATCCTTAATGATCTCTTGGTCAAATGATTTTTCTTTGTATTCAAGTTTCTTGATCATTTCGTTGCTGTGCAATTGCTGTTATAACATAACCAAAGTAAAGCGCGCGCTCTGATTGGTCAATTTAGCGTGCCCCATTTGCCCATGGGTGTACGCTGCTGACGTGAGCAAATGCAAAGACTATTTTTCCGCGCGCGCTTGTTTTTTCTGGTCGCGTAAGATTTGTTAAATAAAAGGGAACTCTTTAGCTACAATGTATCAATGTTATGTTATAAAACAAATGGTAAACACCACAGCGTACACTATTGAGTTATGGATGCACTTGGGAGGTTTGCTAAGCACTCAAGAAGCTAGAGTCGCTCTCGGCTATCGCCTCGAGCGACTCTTACGCTTCTTTCGTGCTTAGCAACCTCCCGCGTGCATCCATAACTCAGTAGTGTACGCTGTGGTGTTTACCATTTGTTAATTGTTATTTGCCACACACGCATTTGCTTTATTAACTGATATTCGTCTTGTCTCGTTTGAAGGTTAAGCGAGTCCCAGGATCCAGTGGACGACTTCACCGAGCTGCCGATGGCAGCTGGGAGTGGTCTGATGACGAGGCGAAAAATGACGGCGACAGCGATGGTGATGATGACGATGAAAAGCCGAAAAAGACCAATACCGTCACGGTAAAATAATAAGTGGTTGACAGAAAAAATATGCTTTAGAAAATTATACCGAAGTAGTAGGGAGTAGGGAATAAAGGTAACTTCATCTTTGGCTCGGTGGTCTCTAGATCGGACGGTTCAGCCTAGAACCTCGGAAAAGTTATGTGTGTTGTAATCTTGAGCAAGACACATAACTTTGAAAGTGCCTTTCTACACCCAGGAGTATTAGCAGTCAGGAACACTTGACAGAAAAAATGGGAGTCCTTCAATCCAAGGAGTATTTTCTCACATTTTGAGATTTTACATTTCGCATCGCAGGATACACCCGATCTTTTCGCCAAGTTTCCCTGAAGACGGTAGACTTTCGTTCCATCTCAATTAATCCACAAGTTGTATAGTAAACCGCTGGGAAAGAGACGTGTTCACTTTAGCCCAATTAATATCAGAAAGCGTCGTGGCTCTTCATTGTGGTGTACAAGCACAATACCAGAAGTGTAAGAGTCTGTCTCGCGTTGTCGTTTTAGTGTCGAAAACATCGCTAGCGCTGCATTAAAATTGGCAAGATATTCAATCTCGTTATCTTTTCCCAAATCCTTTTATCGGCATCGCGCTTGGCGAAATGAGATGTTGTAAAACTTTTTTTGAACAGCTCCGGAGTATGTTGGAGAAGTTTATCAATTGAAGTATCTCTCCATTAAAGTAGACAGCATGTCAATAGGAAATTTGACGGAGGGCATTTTGGAAAATTTGTGTATGGATGTGCGCATGGCTGCGTGAAAGATAAGCCCATCACGTTTCAAATCACTCCGCCGCCTCTGAACTTTATGTTCCGCTGCGATTTCATTTTTTGTTTCCGAAACGAAACTCAACAGCAACAGCTGAGAATGGCACCTTTCTTTTATGTCTGCACTAAGGAAACACGTCAAGGAAACAGATTGAAATGCACCAATTGAAGCTGTCGAAAACCAACCAATGACAGCGTGGAGACGTCGCGATGTACATCGGATACAATTTGAGACAAACGACATCACTCTATTTTTCTTTCTTAACCTACCATTAGAGCAACAATTGGCCACCGTAACGAATAAAAAAGCTGACGTTTCGAGTGTTAGCCCTTCTTCAGAGCTCTGACGAAGGGCTAACGCTCGAAACCTCAGCTTTTTTTATTAGTTACGGTGCCCAATTTACTATTTCAACTTAGTTGATATAACCAATTACCTTGTTATCCCCACCGACGCAAGCACCACAGTTTCTTTAGAAACTTTCAACCTTTATTCATTTGAGCAACAAACTAGGACTGCGTTTATGACTAAGATTAGTACACTTGGCCTATACAATTTTGATTAAGATATGAAAAACCGCAGTGCTTGTCCTTTCAGGAAACTGCACCCAAATCCCAAGGACCGGACATCAAGGTTCAACCGTCCACACCGACATCACCTAAACCTCGTAAGTTAAAACCTTATTTATTATCAGAAGTCAGATATATATATATATATATATNATATATATCTTATTAACTAAGTGCGAGGGCCGTACTGGGAGAATATCGGCCCGAAGTCTTGACAGTACGGACCGAGCGCAGCGAGGTCCGTACAAAAAAGACCTAGGGCCGATATTCTTCCAGTACGGTCCCGAGCAAGCTTGGTTAACAAGAGATTTATTATACGACTGAAGTTCAAAGGGACGCAAGTGTAGTATCATTCGGGACCATTCGGGACAGTGCCCGGTCCCATACTGAGAGAATATTGACCGGCAATAGAGTATTTTGATTGGTTGATTTTAGTTATTGGCCCTCTGACTGCCCGAGTCGTGTAATAATGTCATATAGTAAACTCATCCGCATGCTTGCCGAGCAAGTGGCGAAACAAGCCAGTTAATGTAACCGAGGACATTAACCTTTGGGTTTATTTTCGGTTAGTAAATGACGTAACGCGTTTGAGATTTAAAGGTCGTTTTCGAGCCTTTCAACGATTGGTCTATACTGTGCACAACAAGAACGGATGCTTTTGTTTTTAACCCTTTCCTCCCTCCCAAGATCCCATTAGTAATTCTCCTTATTGTCTGCCATTCAATTCTTGTGATGTTAGTTTGGAGAATTTGGTATTGGATCAACTATTAATTCCCAATGTGATATTTTTCTCTATTCTCATCGCTTGCCTGCTTGATATTGTCTTGATATCGTGCGGAGAAAATGTTCCCTTGTCACTCATGGGACTTCAAGGGTTTAGCAAAGATTTTGCTTCATGAGTCTACTGATCATTTTGTTTCTTAAAGCCGGCACGGTTAGCGGTACCAATTCACTTTCTATTTTTATCCCGGCCTTCTCATTCTGCCTCATGGCACCAGTATTTCAACCCAGATTATACATATAGGAAATTTCATCTTTGTTATTGAGATAAACAGGGGGCGACTTTTTAGGTATGATTCTGACGAACGATGTCGCGAGCATTGGCTAGAAGGCTGCTTTCGTGAAGCTATGTCCAGTAAGCGCTGCACAGAGCAATTTTCAAATGAATGTTAAACGTGATCCACGTTTTATGGCTTTTTTTACTTCAATTGTATCTACTCTCATTGACAGATCTAGAAAACTCTTGCCACCCTGTTAGCAAGTCAGAAGCCTACCTTCGTTTTTCCGCGCCTGAAATCAATCGTTCTAATGACTGTTTTTTTTTTTTTTAACTCTTGTTGGCTGCTTTTCGTTTAAAACGTTTTTTTATGTTTATTCTGATAACCTGCGGCGATTACTCTGACACTATTTTAAGACACTCCTTCGAAAGGCGCCCCTCTCCATACATCGTTTCTTGAGGGTGCAGAAAACTTTCGAAACAGTGCTCTTGATCCCGCAGGTAACAATTTTTTGTAGTGCTCACTATCATGTTCGTTTGTATTTTTACTGTTCAGCTGCACAAATCAACTTGGATCTTACTCTTAGATTAAGGTGAGTAATTCTAGTGTTCTGGTCGGTGCACGCGCGCCTTGAGTTTTGTGAACTGATTATCTTGAAGACTGCCCCGTTACGGCTGGTAGACCCAGTGATTTTGCAGTTAGCCCTTGCGCTGTACTCCTGATCGGAAAGTCCGGGCCCAAGCCCTGGCCGAGTCAGGGTGTTTTGCTGTTGGGCAAGACACTCTTCTCTTACTTTGCCTCTTAGTGAATAAGGTAATTTCTTTAAAAATCTAGAGCGTCTTAAGTTGATGATCATTTCCGTTATTCTCATGACCTTAAGGTGCGATTCAGGGGTGATATTGTAAGGAGAAATTAGATGCTTTCAAGGAAGACCTGAAAAGATGGCGGGGGCGACCGTGTGGTGGACTAATTTTAAAAGTGACCGTAGTTGAATTTTTCTCCGCTTCGCACAGTACTGGCAGTAGTTTCCATCTTCCGTCCGTCTTTTCAGGATGAAGGCATCCGGTTGACCGTATTTCAGTCGCAGTGTGAAAGTCAGTGTAGAAGGCTCGGCAATTACTGCCACCGAACTCATGTTATTCCTTTTAACTCCTTTTTCCTCCCCAACAGAAATGCCAAGAAAGAGCTGAATGATATCAGATTTGACTTTACCCCTGGTAAAGGTAAGTGCGATATTTAGCCTTGTTTTTTTGGAAAATGATTCATTTTGAGCTGATGTTTTTTCCCTGGCTTATTTACCTCGTTCAGCTTTTTGTTGTTGTTTAGTTTGGTTCCAATTCCCTCCAACGTACGCAATAAACCTTCCGAGTTACGGAAAATTCATAGACTGTTTCACCTCACCTCTTTCGTCATTTTTAATAATTTCTAGCGTATTTTCCCCTCCTGGTTTGCTATACATACTGTAGCCCCTTGAAAACAGATCAACAGTCACCGTGAGCTGTGCAGTGATAGTGTATTACATTTATTTAGTTGCTCTTATATTTTTTTAACATTATTTTCATCAGTATCATCATCGTCATAATCATTATCATTAGCGTTATCGACATAATCACACCGTGACGCACAGTGGCACTTGAAGCTTTGGTAATAACTGTTTTTTGTTTTGTTTTCGTGTTACCCATTCTGTTCTGGTGCCACTTCACTACAGACACTGCGGAGGGTGTGGCACAAGAGTTGGTTACAGCAGGTTTAATAAGTGGACAAGATTTAGTTGTTGGTAAGAAAGTTCAATTTAACTCATCATTCAATGCAATCTTTTTTTTTTCTTGTTTTCTCTTTTTGGTTTTTTTTGGTATTTTTTGTTTTGTTTTGTTTTTTTTGTTTTTTTGTTTTGTTTGTTTGTTTGTTTTTTTTTGTTTTGTTTTTTGTTTTGTGTGTGTGCGTGTGTTGTCACTGCTGCATGTCACTGCTGCAGATCCAGCTTTGTTAACGTGCTTGTGGATGCTTTTGAGATTGGACGCCCTTTGTGGGAAGAGGGTGGGACAGGAGGGCGGGGAGCGGCGTTGTTGCTTATTTATAGCAGTCGGAGACGGAATATTTGTTCATATATCCCCGCACTCCAGTGATTGAGAGGGCTACTTTATCCAGATTTCCCGTTAAATTATAATTATGTTCTTGCGGGTCCGTAGTCCAAGTACATTTTTATCCTATTCACTGTTTGTTGATGATTTACCCTTAGTTGTGCAGGCAATGAATTTTATCTTACTATCAATATACCTGTAAATGTTAACTTTCGATTTCAGTTGCTGCTAATCTAAGAAAAGTCATTGATGATCCCCCAAGCAACAAGTCTATGACATTTCCCCTTGTAAGTATTTTTCTTGTTTTAAGTTACAAACATTTCTTTAACCCTTGGCGCTCTAACATCAATATGCACGTTCTCCATGCTGTTCTTTTAGTGCTGAATAAAAGAATTTCTGTAAAGATCTAAAACGTCTTAAGTTGGTGATCATTTCCTTTATTCTCATGACCTTGGTACGTGATTCAGGGGTGATATTGTAAGGAGAAATTAGATGCTGGTCACTGGAAAGGGTCAAAGAGTTGAGGATAAGAGACAAGGAGCTTCGACGAAGCAAAATCTATAACGGATAAAGAAAGTAAACGATGGGATAAAACAACATTAGGTCTAGGTGCACACATAGCTATCACAAATACAGTGGGGAAACATCTCCAGGGTAACTGTGAGTTATGTTTTTTTTTTTTTTTTCTTTCTTTTTAATTAATTTAATTTTACTACTCTTTTAGATAAATAAATAAATAATTAAATAAGTAAATAGATAAATACGTAAATTGAAATGTATTTTTCTTATAATTGCAGAAATCAAGTAGCCACGAACCTCCTGATGATCGGACGTTAATTGGATTCGCGCAGCTCACAATAAACTCTTAGCGACTCAGGAGCAGCCCCAATCGAACAAAAAGAAAAGACTTGTTACAGTTCTTTAATTTTGTGTCGTTCATCTCATCCCAATTTTTAGGAATGTTTTCCTCATCAGGGTGGGAGAGAAATCATTGGATGAATTAAGTAAAGAGAGGTCCATGCAATATAAGGGCAAATTAACCTGACAGAAGTGATTAACATGTAACGTCTTCCTTTAATATCCATGCATTATCCAGAAATCAAGTTTCTGAGAGTACCCAAACTCATTAGTTAGAATCTGTCACCTTGATCTTACACCAAATTCTCGTAGTTAATTTACACGTGAATGTGTAGGAGCTAGAGGAGAGAATTTACAACCAGATCTCGGGTTTAAAGGGTTCAAAGCCTTCCCATGAAATTGCTTTCTTAGATTTTTCTCCTTAAATTTTTCCCTCAGTTGTCAATTTAAGAAAGATCTGCGCCACCTGTTTTGTCACGAGGGTGGAACAAGGGGAAAATAGGAGCTTCCAGTACGAAGAAAAAAAAAAACAATTTTACATCTTTCTTTCTCTCCTATTCTATGTTTTGCACATCGTCTTCCACTCTGCTGATCTTAGTGGTGTGCAGGACTTTTGTTGCATGTTAAGCTAGTAGTGGCATGGAGTTTTCTTTATCTCAGTGGTAGTGAAATACGAAGGGTTTGTAGTTGGATTCCTTATGGGGAGTCAGATTGATTTTCCTTTCTTCGACGCTTGCTACAAAATGAACACATAATATTCAGAAAAAACAGTTAATGATATTAGGGTTCCATAAAAGGTCCTCTGCGGACTTAGTAAGTTCGACTGAAATTTACATTGTCTCTCTGTTTCATTGGTTTGGATTTCCAAGGGGCAAATTTCCTCAATAGAGGCTATAATATTAGCCCGACAGGAATGGTGTGTGCGGTCGGGAAAAGGGGTTAAATTCTCAAGACAGATTATCATCGACTGGAACTTGTTTTATTTTTCACTTAATCTTGAATGTTTTGTTTCTGTGAGGTCTAGCACTATTTTATTCTCTCTACGTTAACAACCCAGCAGCAGTAGAGCCACATTCGGAAGAACTTGGTTCTCTGGGGGAAAATCATTATAGTCTTGCTTTGGCTCCTGATTGGCCCAAAAGAGAAAACATCTTGCTTTTGATTGGTTGAGGCTAAATATAGCACATTTCATACCGTCTCTCGTTGGGAAAATCTCTCCATCTGAAGAATGGCTGATTGTAAATTTTCGCTAGCCATGTTGGTGTAGATTGCGTCATAGACAATGCATTCGTATACAACGCGCTAATTTTGTGTCTGAAGATAAAACCTCACTAATACTAGATAAACTCAACTAGAAAGTATTTTATTAAAACAATGCGACTAAATGTGATCGCTGGTCTTAATTTAATGCCTTCATTCCAAGAGCACCTTAAATAGATACTGTATGGTTACCTGATGTTTGCCTTGCGTCAGTGTGTGTTCTCGGGTTCGGTTTAAAGTTTTTTGGGCAGTCTTAAACTTTCTGGGATTCCGCCTGAAAGTTTAAGTCCCTTTGTTGGCTTTAAACTGACCCCAGGAACACAGAGACGTCAAATTCACGTGAGGCAAGTTTACCCATGTTTATCTTGTGTCGTACCTAGACGGAGTATCCAAAGTAACTTTCGAAGTATCCCTATACTTCGTCTCAGCTCTCTGGAAACTCAGATCGCATACGATGTTTGGGCCACCTGTGTATTTATTTATCTAGCTTGTTAATCGGGCTCCTTTTTTTGTCTTGTTTTGTTTAAAAAAAAAAAACTTGTATTGATGGCTGTGGGTGTGATACCGTGCTGTATGCCAGCGTTACAGTTCCCTGCTTCATATGGTGAACTCGCACGTTTGGATATGTTGCACAGCTATGGATGTATTAACAATACAGTTTTTTGGTTTTTAGATGGAGCACTGTCAGTGTTCAGGTTGGTTTTTGTGACTTTTTTAGACCTTTCTATATTGCTTGTTATATAGTATATTATATATGAAGAAGATCTATATTCTGAAAATGAGAACTTGCACTGAGACTTTGGCCCAGAATGGTTCTTATGTGAAGAGTGTTAAACTGAGAAATGTTAGCTTAACATGTTCCTAAATTTTAGGCTCTTATACGTGGGGTTTGCTGTACGTCAAAATGAGATCCTAAATTTTAACGGTCACGCTTTCAATGTGGTAACGCAGACTGAATTAACACAGTCCCCTTTGAGGCAAACCAAGCATGTAGTCACATCACAGTAAAACACTTGTGCTAATCGACCTACTGTTAAATTCTTGAGCGCCTAGTTCACTTAGTTCTAACATCCTATCGGAATGCACTGAGACGACAAACTCGTCTTCATTCGCTCGCCTTCATAAGTTACCATTTTAACGTAAAAACTTTGCTTTCCTATTTCGTATTGATAATGTGGCGCGTTTACCAGTTAGCCTCGATTTGTTTGCTCGACCCAACTTTTGTGGGAACCATACTTGCGTCCAAATATAACGAGTCAACTTATGCCATTGTCAAAAGTGTGTGGTAAGTGTACTTATCACACGACTCGGGCAGTCAGAGGGCCAATAACTAAAATCAACCAATCAAAATGCTCTATTGCCGGTCAATATTCTCTCAGTATTGGACCGGGCATTGTCCCGAATGGTCCCGAATGATACCGCACTCGTGTCCCTTTGAACTTCAGTCGTATAATAAATCTCTTATTAACCAAGCTTGCTCGGGACCGTACTGAAAGAATATCGGTCCTCGGTCTTTTTTGTACGGACCTCGCACAAGACCTCAGGTCGATATTCTCACAGTACGGCCTTCGCGCTTGGTTAATAAGATATATCTATTATACGCATCACAACGCCCACATTCTCAAGCCAATCATGCTGGATATACTTTGTCTGTAAATAACTCGAAACAGGTTGATTTTGAAATGTGGCATAACCAGGATAGGTGGTCTCTTAACTAGGAATCTTTTTGATACTCTCTTGTTTTTTTTACTGAAAACCGATGTATTGGCCCAAACAGATCCTTAACACTTCCAACTGCTAGCTTTGCTGAAGGTAGAAGTATTCAGCTCCGTACTTGTATTTTATCCCGAAGGACAAAGAATCGACAGGTTTTTACTGGTCTTGACACCTATCAGATCTTGAAAGCTGTCGAATGAAAGAAGGTAATTAAAAAATTTTATTTTATCGCGTTTGTGCTGATAGAGAAGAGGAAAAACAAAGAAACTACTTATGACTCAGCAAAATTTAAACGATGCTTTTGTGGTTCAGTTCGACACAAGACGGACTTTTCACTAGACCTTTGCAGAAACAATTTGTCTATCTGTTTTGCTTTGTTCTGTTTGTTTTTCCTCTTTTTTTTTTTTGCGAGGAGCTACCCAATGATTTGCTCTCTCTATTGAATTCTTTTAAACTTTCCTTAACCATCGATCTCCGTTACTTTGTAGCTTTTTTATACTTTAACAGCTTTGCTGTTTGTCCACCCAAAGAAAACGATTAGGCTCGCGGCTTTGCTCTAAGCAAGGAAACTCTTTATAATGCTAGAATGACTCCAAAGTACTAATTCCTTTACAATTTTTTAATGCACACGTCATTTTGATATTTTGAATTCAAAGTTTGGAAAGAGGAAGTTAATGCCTCGTACTTTTTTGATAGCCAAAACAAGTCAGTTATTCTTCATTCTAGGCACGTCTACGGCCCAATATCTGTGTAAGATATATTACAGGTATCAATATGTACTTAATTCAGTGTCAAAATATCATATGGTCTGTTTCATATTTTCCCAGCTTTTACTTAAATCTCGATTAAAGGCTAGGCTGTTCACCACTGATTGACATGGCATTTACCTTAAAACAAAAGATGCGTCAGAAGTAAAGTGATTTCCCAACCACGTTTGTTTCAATTTTTTTTTGCGAATTGTCCAACTGCACTTAACTTTGACCAATTATAAATTCGCTTTTAGTGTCTGCGCAGGGTTAAGATGAATCGCACATAGTGCCCTGAATGGTCAATTGCGCGTGGATAAGCAGACCTACAAGTAAGTCTCTGATTCCAAGTTCGTTTATTTTCTAAAGATTTCGGTTCTCTGAGTTAACGTGACTAGTATATTATAGCCGCATAGTCGTGTCGTGTGTTTTGTATTTCCATCCGAATGTCGTACTTGCATCACCCGTCCGAAATTCCCTCTACAGAGCTTCACCCAGTATATTACTTCCTCAACAACAAATTTAAACCGAATCGGACAATATCCGATTGACAATGATATAATTCTTCAATATTATATTTCCTTCAACTGTTTTAACCATATTTGCACTCCTGCAGTGTCAAAAATTAGCACACTAGTTTAGTGTTCTTAGTACATAGCTCTGAAAGATAGCAAATTGAGACATAATTTCCCTGTATGTTGAACCTAATGCCTACTGAGGTATCAATGGCGACGACTAACTATATATACTGTCTGGAGTAAAATTATTGGCTTTCAACCAAGTAAACCTGTCATTATAAGTGAACTACGTCGAATGTTACATGCAATTTTTGAGCACCACAACAAGCAAACGAATACAGATTTCGGCACTCTACAATAAGAGCAAAAGTACTACAGGTAATCACAAGAGGCTAAGTGGCAAAATGTATCTTGATCATGTAATGAGTATATACATTTCTTTCAGGATGGAATCATGTCGCTTTCCATCAAAACAAATTCAAGAATTAGCAATTCTGAAACTTTGCATCTGAGTCGAACCTTAATCCACGTCTTATGAATATGGTAATTTAAAAAGCTCTTTCTTCCAGCCGAATTGCGTTTACCACGAAACGATCTGCCATTGAATTTGGATGACAATAAATGTTGTTTTACTGTGGATGCTTATGATGGCTGCAGCAGCTTTCCTTCGTCAAAAGAGCGAACTCTAAAACATTGAAAGCCACGAGTGCGCATTAAAGTGTTGTCAAAGTCTTGTGCTAAAATCTCACACGACAATGCTCTTAGATTTTAAAACTGTTTCAAAATGGAGACAATACTTTTTTCTGAGACAAAGAAAAGGAGGCAAAATGTTTTATCTGAGTGGAGCCTTAATCCAAGTCTAACATGCATATGAAAATTTGAAGTGCTTTTTCCTCAACAGTTAGCACGCAGAGGGCTAGAATATGGAAAGGCTAACGTGAATCACTCCTACCTATCATTCTTTTCGATCACGGCGTCCGACGCTCGCCGTGGAAAATTTTTAACAGCTTAATTATTTTCATACCAGATGTTTCATATCTATGTGAAAAATGCAGCGACTTTCTTTTCACTGAGATGATACAGAAAATTGTAAGACGTACTTTGTAAGATGTACTTTTGCATCCGTGCAGCGCCTAAAAGCTAAATTTTGAAAGCAAATTATCAATGTTGTAAAATGCTAATGATATAATCTTGAAAAGATTGTCCTTAAGACGTTCGCGTTTCCTTAGTAACGCGATACTGGGAGACAGCTGTTAGCAATAACGTGTACATCTTAAAAAAAGCTTTTACATAATTTTGTTTTGTTAAAACATAGCTATTGAACGACTTTAATTGACTCTTTAATTCTGATCAACCGCTATCAACGAATGTCACGTGAGTCTAACGGCCAATGACAGAGCAGCAAAACTGACCAATCAGTTTATGTGAAACTCGGGCTGTAATCAAACTTTACTACCTTGAGTTCATCCTTTTAGTGCCATCATTGCTGTGTCACTATGGGCATTAAGTGATGGAAGGCCAATGATTTTGACAGCTGCTTACAGGAAGTGCTCCATTTAATATGGGTGTATAATACTTCCGGTATTCCAATTACAGACAAATTTAGGAAAATTCATTATATAACATCACAAAATAGCAAGATTTTCTGTAAGTTTTACCATAAGCGGATGCTAATAGTTTTATAGGCGACTGTGCCTAGTAAGGGTACCTTACGACGAATCCCATACACCAGAGCCTGCCTGCAAGCTAAAATAAAGGCGGGGAAAGGACGTATGGATCGCAATAGATCCCCAACAACCGATTTTGTTGAAAACCCCTCCCGTAGGCATTATGCTTAGTCTTTTTTTTTTGGGAGGGGGGATGGGTCATTGTGTAAATTTCAGTGAATGGCAATCTCAAGAAGAACACATGATCATTAATTGCGACTTCCAGGCCGAGCAAAGGAAAGAAAAATAAAAATTATACATGTTTGCCTTGTTAGGATATGTGCAAATCAGTTTAAAAAAACGTCGGTGCACGAGAACCCTGCAGTTGGCATTATGGCTAATCGTAATTTTTGGGGTAATGGGTCATTTTTTAAAATTCAATGAGTGATAGTCTCAGAAGAGCAAACGTCACTGAATCGCGACCTTCAGGCCAACCAAAAGAAAGACAAATGAACCTTGACATGTTTGCCTTATCAGGATATATGCGAATCAGTTTAAACAAACGTTGGCTGAAAACATGGTATGGAAATTTATCAGAAGATCACGCCTAATGTCTTGAATTCTTCATAGCCACTGTGTTTGAAATAGGGTATCCTTTTCCATCATGGTTCACCATTTGCGTGAGTTAAGATCTTTCTCGCCACGTTATCACTTTTCGTATAAACGAATGAATTCAAGATATTTTTTCCCATTTCGAAGGAGGGTCTTTGAGCAGTATTTTATGTAAACATTGATAAATGCATTTTCCTTGACGCATATTGCAAGCAATAAATTAATTTCCAGGTTTGTTTCTCGATCTTTCCAGTTCTAAGACATGATGAGTCTTCTAACAGAAAGAGGGATTCCTAGCTTAAAAAATCGGACTGAGGATCCACAAGAAGGAGAAGAACTTAGCCAACAGGTCTATTACGCAATTGCCAGCGTGTATGCTCTCCTTGCCGTAATAGGATTCATTTTTAATACTCTTGTTCTTGTTGCATTCGCAAAGGACAGCTCCCTTCGTTCCCACTCAAACATTCTTATCCTTAGCATAGCTGTCGGTGACTGGATACAAGCAGTGGTAGCATATCCTTTGGGAATTGTTGGCATTTTAACAAAAAGCTGGCAAAGCACGGGAACGTCTTGTGTATGTTACGGCTTCATGGTGACATTTTTATCTTTCGGCACCATGCTACACCACGCTACTTTCGCCATTGAGCGCGCCATCGTGATAAAGTTCTCTTTCTCGTTTTCCATCGTCCAAAAGCTAAAATACATCATCGTTGGACTTTGGTTGTTTTCCTTAATTTGGAGCACCTTGCCTTTGATTGGCTGGTCAGGGTATGCCCCTGAGGGAGGACGCTCGGTTTGCTCGATTGATTGGCAAAATTCTAGTCCAAGTGCTATTGCCTACATTTGGTGCATCTTCGTTCTCTTTTTCATAGCTCCTTTTACAACCATGGTTACCGCATACAGCTCTATCTACCGCAACGTCAAAATGATGACTCGAACTGCGCATAATACGTGGGGAGAGAACGCTGCTCCGACTCTAGAAACTGTTTTAGCAGAGTCAAAAACCGCAAGAATGGCATGCATTATGTCATTTTGTTTCTTGTTTGCATGGACACCATATGCCGTGGTATCACTCTACGCGGTCATACTAGCACCGGAGCCTGTTATATCTCCCTTGGTGGCCACCTTACCCGCTCTCTTCGCTAAAACAGCACCGTGGTACAACCCGCTTATTTACTTCCTGCTGTTTAAGAAATTCCGCTCCAGTCTCAGAAAGGTGCTCAGTCCATTTCCAATATGCAAGCGGTTTATCCGACAAGAGTCAAGTGCGGAGAACATGGAGGTCATCTCATCTTTAACAGGATTTCGTGATAAAGAGAACACCAGAAGGAAGTAATTTTTATTAACACGGATTCGGGCTGTCGCCACCATCTAATGATAAAGAGAAACAGTACTTTTTGTCTCAACATTTTGTGAAAATGAATAAGCAAGAGAAATTACCTTCCAGGGACCTTCCAGGGTCACGAAACTTGCGTTCAGTTGTGTTGTCTTTATTTTGTAAACGAAAGCCTAGCAATGATTTACTCTCGGACAATACCGCCGGGCTTGCTGATGTAATGTGCCGTATGCAATGTGCCGTATGCAATGTGCCGTATGCAATGTGCCGTATACCTCAGAAACCAGGCTGGATTAATTCTCTTTTCGACATGACAAACCTTGGGCAGCACTTTTATCCTTCTCTTTTCTGTTCATTTAAATCGAATTTGCCATGCCAATTCCAAGGTATTGAGCCGCAATACCTAAAATGCAAAAAAAAAAAAAAGGTCTGAATATCACCTGATTATCTCCCTTCTTAGACCTCTGTTCCCATGAGGACCGGAGCCGATAGACGGGTGTCAAGAAAAAGTTGAACTTACTCGTCCAAGAGATACTTCAGCCAGTTCAGGTTTATCCCGGATCGAATCGTACGTAGCTTTTATTATTCTAGAAACAAACATTCTTCGGAATAAGAGATCCATATCTTACCCGGAACTATAGACTGGAGAAGAAATAAATATATGTTATATACCGGGTAGCAGGTCTGTATGGATAAAAACTGTGCCCGATGTATTAGCCAAGCACCGAACTCACTGAAGACCGAGGGCATAGTTGTTCCCCATACGGACCGACCTCAGTAGACTGGAAAGTGACTTATTTCTTTGTTTCTGCTGGTTTCTTTTATTCCGCTTTGCTACGAATGGCGCAAATAGAATTTCGTCCATGGTCCTTATTATAAAAAGCTTAAGCGGTTATGAGCATGTGCTGAGCCAATCGGATTCGTGGCTTTAAGATTCCGTCCCGCAGTGATGCTACAGAAAAAAAATGAAAATTTGTCTCCACGAACTGACATGTGGTGTTTTATTTATAATATTGATAATAGTTACATGCTTTAAGTTAGAGACAATTTTAACAAACTGATCATGACACAAATACAGAGATCGCCTGCTTTTAAATTGAGGTCGAAGAAAAATTTCAACCCCTGACGTTAAGATAAAATAGCTATTCATCATCGATAATAATGTTAGTAAATTTCTAAAAGAAAAAAAAACTTTGCGAAATGCATGTCGATAGACCGTTTAGCATGACTAAGTTGCTATCTTTACGCGTGAGGAAATGACATATTTTCCAAACAGAAGGAAATCTGGTATTTCATTAATACCTACCTAAATAGAGGATATCCGGCATCGCCCCCGGTGACTATGCATTTTTTGAGAGCTATATCAACACGAAATGATAAAGTTGCATGTAAAAACGGACATGTAATGTCCTGTTTACTATATGAGAATTGATCACAACTTCTTTTGATGAAATAAAATTTCATTTGACTTTGGAACAGTGTAATAAGTCTTTTACCTCTAAAGTAAATGTCTAAAAGAAAATGGGAGAAAAGAACTGCGTCCAGTCCATCTGATGAAATAATTTTATTAGAGCATAAGTATACTCATGTAATGTGATGGCGTCTACCTTGGCACTTTAAGAACGAGAAGTCAACAAAGTGGATAAACCAAGCCTGGAGGACATTCCGGAAATTCTTATGGGTGTCCAAAGTACAGCATATAAGCTGTTAAATACAAGGTTTTCTTCCAAGCGACGATGTGGCTGAATTAACAAACAAGCTCGGAAAGGAACGTACAGGCTAGAGGTAACAAACGTAATAGAGGTAGTAGTGAAACAAAACAAGTACATAGCGTCGCTTGAGAAAGAACTAAACAGTAGAGAGATTTAGCACCGAGTTTGCGTGAAACGTGAAGGCAAGAGTGACCACGTGACCTTCTTTTTCCCGCCAGTTTTTTCACGTATGACGGTTGCGCTTTGCCGTTTCATCGTGAAAGTAGCCTGTTTCGCGCTTGCCGTGCACGTAAGATTTTCTTCACTTTTCCTCACACAGAGTAGAAGTTAATAGCCTGAAAAAGCGCACCAAAACTATTCATTGTAAGCAAGATACAGGGGCGCCTTCAAACCCACCATGACGAGGCGCAAGCGAAGCTAAAGCGGTAAGGTTCACGCTATTTTACGTGAAAGTGCAAGCTGACGTTTGCCGTTTCACGTAAACGCGGTGCTAAATCTCTCTAATATGGACAAATGCGTGAACGAAAGTGCAGACGCGGCACATTTTGAGCTGAGGCTAGATAATATGGAACGATATTCCAGAAATAACTCGCGTAGTCATGTCAACGGACTAGAAATAGTACGAAGAAGTCCTTCAGGGAATATTAATAAAAAATCCTTATTAAATTTTTCATTTCAGAAGCTAACGTTAGATATTGTTAAGTTTAATGGAATTTAATATAGTTAACGACTAAGAGTTAATCTGGTCAGTAGCTTTTTCGCTGGCGTCGTGTTAGGGTATTTGTGTTATATAAGCTTATTTGTGCAGCGTTTGTGTGTGATCTGTAGCGTTTGCAACAACCACATGGTTATTGGAGGGCTAGAGCCGTCCATTTTCAGTGGTACTCCTCATCAGCGCATGCGTTATTTTCTCATGTGCTTGCATCGTTTCCGCTGTAAGAACGAAAAGAGTATTGAAGGCATCACGCAATAGATAACACGGAAATTAGGGGAATTCGGTTTGCAGATGACACGTCTCTATTTCTAAAAGGCAACATTTTGATTTTACAACGCTTTTGAAATTCTTTAGCGTTGCGGAATTTATAGAAGCTTAGTTTTTATTGTGAATGTGTTTTGTGGTTTTCCCGTGCGCGCCAGGCTATTACGTCCTAATTAAGTTAAAATAAACCCTCAGGAATTTTTCAAAACTTAGTAAGAGGTCATATGATAAAATGCTTATTGACTTAATGAAGTCAGGTCGGGTTGGAAGGGAATATGTTTGGTTCTCTTTCAGGACGCATGAACCTCGCTGCGGTGGTCCGTGCATCATGACCTCGAGCCAAATATTTTCCAGTCCGGCCCCGCCACTCAGTCAATTAGTAAATCGGATATTAGATGCATAATTGATTAGTAAGTAATAACTTGGATATAAAATGACATGTTGAAAATTGAATAAAATTTGAATATTAAATTTATAGTTGAGTAGAAAATACAAAAATTGAAAATTAAATGAGTTCAATATTTACTACATTTAGCCTGTCATACTGTCACTAAGAAAGAATTCTGTAGAGATGGCCTAAGCGACGAAAACGAATTCTATAAGAGGCAATATAATTACGAAATACGTGTACAAGAGGACAAGTAATGTGCTCTTTACCATATGAGTGTTGATCACCATTTTTTTAATGAACTGGAAATGAATTTCATTTGACCTGCGGATGAAAATTTAGTAAACTGGTCAAGCAGGTGAGCTATGATTTTAGCAATTGAACAAAAGAAGCCAGGAAAAATTTCACGCTTCGACGGGATACAAAACCGTGTTTCCCGCGGAATACAAGTTGAAACCTAAATGTTTTCATGCTTAATTATTTTTTTACAGTTGCTGTAATGGTCCGGAATTGCACGTTGCCTGCGAGGATCATTGTTCTACTTCATTTAAAGACATTTTTAATAGCACTGAATGCAGACATCATCTGCTCTTAAAATAATAATAAAGTCTTTATTTCATCATAAGATAAAACTACATATCTTATGTTACAATGAATTCAGTAAAACTACAGTAGAAATCTACATACATATTATGAATTGAAAAGTTTGTCATTACAATAAATGGAGCTTAAATATCAACCTATTTACAAAGGTGTTCATAAAGCGCCGTGTATTAATTTTCGGGCATGCACAGCCTTTTTTCCTAAGATTGTGTACATAAGTCTTCTGGACAGGAATGATGTCTTTCAGGGCATGACAATCCGTTGATATTAATTCCTTCAAAATGTTTCGGTCTTGCTTGTTTAAAAGGTTCTTGATAAAAACTGGAAATGAAATTAAACGGCGTTTATAGCATCGGTCTAAAAACTTTTGTACAACCATAAGATCGGACTCAGATGCCCCATAGACTGAAAGCGCATAGCTAAATTAGGCAAAACAATGGATATAAAAAGGTGATCTATCTCTGCCTGAGAGTAATGTTCCTTGCTCAATGTTCGTAGGACGTGTAAACACTTATTTGCTTTGACAAGCTTAGTTCTTACATGCTCATCAAATTTTCCGTCACTCTGTAAAGTTACTCCTAGTAAAACGAAGCTATTACATTGCGGAATATTATTAATTGGAGAGTAGAGTACATTGCATGTGATTTTTTCTTTCTAACAACCAGTTCTTTTCATTTGCAAGGGTTGCAGACCATTCTATTGTCTTTACACCATGTTAAGAACTGTCCTACTAAGTCGGCAGACGGGTCGCTATTCCCAGTGATAGGCGAAAGAATAGTGGAATCATCGGCATATCTAAAAAGCACAGGGCAACCACTAAAAAAAATCTCCAAGTCGTTGAAATATATATTATTAAGATACGGTCCGCTCACACTACCTTGTGTGATTCCTCTATTGACAGATTTCCACTGTCCTAAAAATTTATAACTAACAACACGTTGTTGTCTTGCAGAGAGGAAACTATGATACAAATTGATAATGTACGGATTTAGTGGTAGCTGTTTCAGTTTGGCAGACAAAATAGCAGGGTTCACAAAATCGAAAGCCTTACTGAAGTCCATAGAAAAAATTCGCACTGCGCTACAGTCACTACTATCTAAATACTTGTATGTCTGGTGCTGGATAGCGAGCAAGGCATTTGTGCAATTACCTGCCTGTCTATATGCAAATTGGGTGTGGCTCAGGTTGTTCTCAATGATTGACTGTGCTTGTGTACGATACACAACCTTCTTGAACAACCACGCAATAACGGGAGTAACATTAATACCACGGTAGTCTGAGTCCTCTATAGGCATGTTCACTTTGGGGAGAGGATTAATATTTGCCCTCTTCCAAGAGTCTGGCCATCTATGACTAGACAGCGACAGATTCCAAACGTGAATGAGGATTGGTGTGAGTAGCTCAGCACAGTCTTTCCAGATCCAGTACGGGAGGTCGTCTGGTCCCGTTGCCGTTTTCTTTATATGAACTAAAGTATTCCAAACACACCGCTCAGATATTTTCGGGGGCTTTACACTGTCTGGGATATCCGTATCAATAGGTCTAACGTAAGTGTCATCATATCATAGCACAGGTTGGCGAAGTAGTCGTTCAGACAAACTAGAGAGTTATTGTCCAAATTTATTTTCTTAAAGGGGAGTGTCTGATGACCGCGCAGCGCGCAAAATACTACTTAGCTCAAACGCGCACAAAAAATGAATGTTAAGAAGAGCTTGCAATTGCTTGAGATAAAAAGAAAAGCAGCAAAGACATTAAAGGGTGAAGTCGACCTTAGTGATTTTTGTAAAGCTATGTGGTAAAATCAAAACAGCACTTCATGAAAGGTAAAAGTGTAGTTTCCATAGCGACGTTGTAGTTCACGTTCTCTGCGTGTCGAATAGATGCAGGAAAATTTATTATATGGCAAGGTGGTCGTGAGGTATAACTGAGCGTTCTGATTAGGTTTTACTTGGTCCATATTTTCCCATACGAACACTTTCCACGGAAACAGTCATAATCCGTGTAATTTTTAATAAAGGGGAGGAGGGGGGGGTAAGTTTTTAAGAAACTGTGGTGCTAATTCAGTGGGAGAGTGTAACAAGGTAATTTTAGTTTTATCGAGCGTTACCCCTTCGTCAGAGCGAATGGAGAAACTATGAGTTGTGTGTTATATACAGGAAATAGAGCTACACTATTGGTGGGAACGAGAAAAACAAGAATAAATGAGTTGAATGAAAAGCATTCGTTGGTACTGTGGGGTTTAAGAGTCTCTATTTGAAAGATAAACTTTTGTTCTAGAGAGGGACTAACGTTTGAAACGTCAGCTTTGAAACTCTTTACGGTAGCCGTGTACTTTTGATTGCGAAAGCCGGCGAAATTCTACAAAATGTTTGAAACACAAAATAAGTGTTTGGAAAGCCAAAATGTAAATACTGAATACACAACTAAAAAGAAAAAACAAACAAGCTCTTAACCATTTCAGTCGTCCCAAGATCTCATGATATGAACGCTTCTTACTGCCTGCCATACAATTTTTATGATGTTTGTTCGGAGAATTTGGTATTGAATCAACCAATAAAATTCCCATATTGATAATTTTCTTTATTCTTATCCCTTATCTGCTTGATAACGTACATCGATATTGTATGGAGAAATTCTGGCTTGGTCACTGAAAGGACTAAAAATAGACAGCTGTTTACATTAGTGTCAAATGAGCATGTTAAGAAATCTCAAGCAATCCGGTTCCGCCAATAGTTAAATATATACTACTTTGTGGGTGATTTCGTCTGAGAACATACAATATATAACATAGCTCCAGAATACCTCCGGCTCCTCCCTCCCCCCCCTTACTTTTCTGATGGTCCGTTCCCATGGTTACGTAGGATTTGATAGCGAAAGCGTTCGTATCAAAACTGGCGATCATCCAAATCCGCGTGAATACTTGAATAAACTTTTCATAAATTATTGGTTAGGAAAGAGGAATTCCTATCTTAAAAAATCTGACTGAGGATCCACAAGAAGGAGAAGAACTTAGCCAACAGGTCTATTACGCAATTGCCAGCGTGTATGCTCTCCTTGCCGTAATAGGATTCATTTTTAATACTCTTGTTCTTGTTGCATTCGCAAAGGACAGCTCCCTTCGTTCCCACTCAAACATTCTTATCCTTAGCATAGCTGTCGGTGACTGNGTATGGAGAAATTCTGGCTTGGTCACTGAAAGGACTAAAAATAGACAGCTGTTTACATTAGTGTCAAATGAGCATGTTAAGAAATCTCAAGCAATCCGGTTCCGCCAATAGTTAAATATATACTACTTTGTGGGTGATTTCGTCTGAGAACATACAATATATAACATAGCTCCAGAATACCTCCGGCTCCTCCCTCCCCCCCCTTACTTTTCTGATGGTCCGTTCCCATGGTTACGTAGGATTTGATAGCGAAAGCGTTCGTCTCTAACCTGGCGATCATCCAAATCCACGTGAATACTTGAAAAAACTTTTCATAAATTATTGGTTATGTTAAAACATGGCTAAAGAACCGAACAGAACAACTGACGTATTCTATTTGATGACACGCTACCAGCAATTCTTACGTGAGACTGAGAACCAATGATAACGCAACAGGACTGACCAATCAGTTTTCACGAACAATCCATAAAACTAAGGCCAGCATAAAACTTTATTACCTTAAGCTCGTCCCTTCAGTTGATCTCATCATTGCTGATTTTTTTCTTCACCACTGGCATGAAGTGATGAAAGACAGCTGCCTGTGGTAAGTGCATGCTGTTTTAAGAGAGGGTAATTTCTCCGGTATTCATATTCACGAAAAATTGAGGAAAAGCAATCATACCACATCCCACAGAAGCAGGGGTTTTAATAACTTTTTTCCATGAGCCGCTACCGATGGTAAAATAGGCGGCTGTGCCCGGTAAAAGGGCCGTTAGGTCAAATCCAAACACGAGAAATTGTAGCAAGCTAAACTGTAAAAATTTTGGACAATTCGCGGCCATCGATTAATATCTCTCCTTTGTTGTCACTAGAGTATTTTTACAATTAACTCTTTTTTACAGCTTTCTTGACACGTTATCACCTCTCTTCTATACAAATGAAATCAAGATTTTTTTCGCCATTTCGAAGGAGGGTCTTTGAACAGTAAATTATGTAAAATTTTGATTAATGCATTTCCCTGGACGCGTAGTGAGAGCAATTAGATAATTTCCAGGTCTCTTTCTCGTGTTTCCAGTTAACACACGATGAGCCTCCCAACAGAAAAAGGGATACCTTCTGTCAAAAATGGGAATGAGGATCCACAAGAAGGAGATCTAGAAGAACTTAGCCAACGGGTTTATTACGCAATTGCCAGCGTGTATGCTCTCCTTGCTGTAACAGCATTCACTCTTAATACTCTTGTGCTCGTTACATTCACGAAGGACAGCTCCCTTCGTTCGCACTCAAACATTCTTATCCTTAGCATAGCTGTCGGTGACTAGATACAAGCAGTGGTAGCATATCCTTTGGGAGTTGTTGGCATTTTAACAAAGAGTTGGTAAACGACGGGAACGTCCTGTGCATGTTACGGCTTCATGATGACATTTTATCCTTCGGCACCACGCTACACCACGCTACTTTCGCCATTAAGCGCGCCATCGTGATAAAGTTCGTCAACAAGTTAAAATACATCATCTTTGGACTTTGGTTGTTTGCCCTAATTTGGAGTACCTTGCCTCTGATTGGTTGGTCAGGGTATGCCCCTGAGGGAGAACTCTCGGTTGCTCGATTGATTGGCAAAATTCTTGTCCACGTGCCATTGCTTACATTTGGTGTATCTTCGTTCTTTTCTTCTTGGCTCCCTTTGTAATAATGGTTATCGCATACGACTCTATCTACCGCAACGTGAAAAGGATGACTCGAACTGCGCGTGACATGTGGGGAGAGAACACTCCTCCGACTTCAGAAACCATTTTAACAGAATCAAAAACCCCAAGAATGGCATGCATTGTCATTTTGTTTCTCGTTGGCATGTACACCACATGCCATTCTATCACTTCACGCCACCATATGAGCACCGGAGCCTGTTATATCTCCCTTGGTGGCCACCTTACCCGCTCTCTTCCCTAAAACAGCAGCGGGTTACAACCCGCTTATTTACTTCTTGCTGTTTAAGAAATTCCTCTTTAGTCTCAGAAAGGTGCTCAGTCCATTACCAATATGAAGGCGGTGTTTTAGTCAAGACTCAAATGCGACTATCTCATCTATGAAAAATTTTGATGAAAAAGAGAACATCAGCAAGCCCGTTGGGAAATTTTTATCAAGAGGGGCTCAAGCTGGACCCACCGTATAATGAAAAAAAAAAAAAAAAACTCTGCGACCTTACGGAAAGTTTTATTTATATACAACGACAATTAATCTTCAAAGATTTACCTCTGTTCAGTTTTAAATTACACAGAAAGTTAATTTGTAAATGAATTCGAATGTGTGTTTTGAAGTCGTGAGAGTCTACTTGTTTGTTTTCTGCAATGGCGTCTGTAAATCTTGTCTTTCTTCACCGAAAAACTGAATTCGAATGAGACGCTTTTTCTGGCTGGACACAAGGAGTTCTAATGTGACTTCCACTCAACGAATTCCTTCGCTTTCTGTTGTAAAATTTACGGCAGAAATGTCCGCATTCGAGGGACTTGCGAGGAAAGGGCGAAAGTGTGTTTATAGAAAATCTCAAAACTTCGCTTAACGTTTCATAAACGAACAATTGTTTTGAAGAATTCAGATATTAAGTGAATAAGAGTCACATTAATTAATGTAATTGTTGACTGCAAATACCTCTCGTTTTAACTTAACTGCCTGCCATACAATCCATATGATGTTTGTTCGATGAATTGGTATTGGATCAACTAATAATCCCCTAATTTAATTTAATTTCTTCGGCTCTTCTCCCTACTTCCGATTCTGACTTTCCTGATGGTCCGTTACATGTATGTAGGATTTGAGAATGAAGGCGTTCGCAACAAAACTGATCTTCAAAATGTGCGCATTCGATTGCGTGAATACTGTTTAAAGACACTAAAATTCGTACAGTAAGAAAAATATTCAGTAGCGAGTTTGTGTTTTACATGTAGGCTCTAATTTTGATGGTCACAGTTTGCTCCACTCCATCCATTGTAACATTTACAGCTCTGAAATTTCCACTGATCCGTCAAATCCAGTGCAAATCCATGATACGTGGAATGAATATCTGCAGTGGGTGTCAGCTGGNGTCCACATGAAAACGTTTATGTGCATAAGCATATATTTAGTCTTCGGTCTATGCGTTGACGCGATGATAGACTGGGGCGAATCCAGGATTTCAAACAGTAGTTGGATGCCAGCCGTGAGGAAGGGGGTGAGGGGTGTCCTTTCTCTGGAAATTTGGCATGTTTAATACTTGGGAAACGCAATTTTTCAACACTCAGAGGTGTATTCGCCGTTTATTTACGTCTTAGCTTTTTAGTCAAAATTTCACTCCTATTCAAAAATAATGCCTTGCCACGCTGACGCCATTTTCACTCACGATCAAAATTTGTTTGTCCCATTTTCAAATAAACTACTCCATAATTAGTGTCTAGTGTAAAGCTCACCGATAAAAGATGAAGGGAGGGAGAGGAGGAAGGAAGGATAGAGGGTGCTTCGCGGAGGGAGCACTGGAGTAAGGGGCTAACAGCGGAGTTACATGTACAATATATTTTCGCACAATGGATGTAAGCTTACAGGCTCCAAGGTCTGCTTCATTTGATCCAGAGAGAAGGTTACTTTTGTAGCGATTAAATTTACCTGTGGAAGGCCTTCATTCACTGCTTTTCCATCGCTATCAAAATAAGGATACAAACCCAGCTGTTGGTGGTAAAATATTACGATATACTGTCCACACCACGTTTGGTCTGGGTTCACCACAAAATCGAATGCGCTAAAATCGAGAGTAACGTTCCATTTCGTTTTGCACATCTCTGTCGGAGTATGCCAAACTGTGATGAAAGGTCAATTCGGTAGAGGAGGTCCTTGAAAATGGCTGCAGGTAGATTGCAACGAAGAGTGAAGATTGCTTGAAAATATAATCACAAAAATTATTCTCCATGTCGTGAACGCCATGTTGTTCTGTCACGCAGTATTGTCACGGCATGATGCATGTGACTGTCATCTGACAACAAAGAAACCCCTGGTGACCAGTCCCAGCTCGCCCGAGTTGACCCTGCACTGATCAACTCCAATATGACGAGATAAATACTGTGGCTTTTTGGAAGCCATGTTTATTGTCGGCTTAACAGGCGGGATAGCGACTGGTAAAAGCACAGTGTCAAGGATACTCAAAGATCTAGGATGTCCTGTCGTGGATGCGGATCTCATAGCCCGGGAAGGTGAGATGTGTAAGAAATTTACTCCACTACCTGGAACAAAATAATGTAAACACTAATATAATGGAGAAGATAAATATGTCCTGAGAAACAAAGAGGATAGACGCTCACTGCCGCCCTTCGAAGTCTAACTTAACAAATACACCGTATTGTTCGTAATCTTCCAATCTACAGTTATCCAGTCTATCTATTGCAAATTGGAAAAACTATTTGATTTTATTTAGGCTAAATTGCAGATTACCCAGCCGCTCATTTGCATGTCATTGAATAAGAATAGCCTCTATTGTGTTATGTTTAGTTCTTCAAAGCCTCCCGACACAGGTAAATGAGGTGGCCGGATATTCTGCAATTGCGCCGCATACAATTTTAGTTATGTCATTTGTCATTTCTGACCGTGTCGACGTCTGTATTAGGCAAGAGTTCCACATAACCCCATACATTAATTATGCATAGAGTGTTGCAAGGAGACCTTTATATAAGTTTAGTCTTTATGGAGTGGAATGCATAATTAATGTATGGGGTTATATGGAACTCTTTCCATAATACCTCTCTAATTATTTACTTGAAATTAAAGCCATGTATGTGAGAATTAGTAAATTTTAAATGAACAAAATTCATCTTTCCTGAACATTCTCTGTTAATCCTTTAAATCCCAAGATCTGATCATTTATTCCTCGTTTCTTGCACCTTAGTCACAAGAATTTGGTATTAGATCAAATTAATAACTTCTACCTGATGAGTTTGGGTATTCTCATGACCTTTATGCTGGATCCTGTTTAAGAATATTAGGGAGGAGTTAAGGGTTAATCATTTCTTGGAATTTACAGGGTTAATTGCAAGTCTCATATTTTGAGCTTTGTAGGAACTATAATTCAAAAAATGGGTTAGAAGGACACCGCAGAAATACGTTTTGGTGATGTCACAGTGGTCAGTGGTCATCAACATTAGGCTGCCAAGTGCTTCCATGTGTTTTTGGACTGAATTCGATGAAAACATCGGCCTTTTGCATGGTTTTAAGTCGGAAAATATCCATGATACTTCTCCTTGTTTATTATGGTTGATCCTTTGAATGGGTTTTTAATAATAAAACCACATCTTAACAAATAGCGGTGCAGGGGAGTCATTTTGTTTGGAGTTTTGTGCTGTTTGCTGACTTAAGCTGGCCGTCGTTACGAAGTGCGATCGTGGTTCGTCAGTCGCCCTCGCCTTCAGAATTGTCAAAAACAGCGATAGTTATCCAGACAAAGCAAGAGATTAGTTCTGTAAGATAATTTTCCAGCGAGTCTGAAGACTGGTTGGATTTTTAAGTGTTATTAGCATGAAGCGATACACGTAATTATTGAGTTGTGAAAATATTCACACTCACTTTGCGCCGACGTGCGGTGCCTTTTCATTTTGGAAATCATTCGCTTGGTTGAGAATTTTACTTTTCTAGACTGATTTTTCGCCATTCCACCTTTCTGATTTTCTGTGCCTTTAAGAACGGGTGTCCGTAACGCTCGAAACGTCAGCTTTTGTAATCGTTACGGTTGCCAATTTACCATTTCAACTTTGTTGATATATCCAAATTAAAATATGAAAACATTTGTTCATTTCATATACTTGCAGTTTTATCAACAAGTTATCTCTCATGAACAGAATAACGCCTGACTTAAGCTCATATAATGCACTACAAATGTTTCCNCAAGTTTAGAAGATAGTTGATTCATTCAAGGCTGGTGCAATACGAGAAAAGACAATGCAGTGCTTTATTCACATAGATTAAATTATATTATAATAATTATTTTACCTTACAGTAGTTTTGTTTCTTAAAAATTTGTTTTCTAGTAGTACCAATATGGTAATGTTACTTTGTGAATCAGGGAGCTAAATAAAGCAGAAGTATTCTGTTAGCTCAGTACATTTTATGTTGCAGATGGCATTAAGTTAGTAAAGAAAGAAAAGAAAAAGCAAAAATAAATAAAATAAAATGATTAGTGAGGGAAAAGCAGCTTAAAATAAAGACATACTACAAATTATTCATAATTGTGATGAGAAATACTTGTTGGGAAAGTAAAACTATTGCTCAGAAATAAAATTGCAGCTTCTCAGAAAAAAAAAATTACAAACTAAGGTGGAAAGTGAAAACTTCTTTATTATCATTATAATGAGCATTTTGTACTTAAAGCATACCTCGGTTTATTCTTCCTCTAGTTGAGCCAGTCTTTGTACTTTTGGGGGCTTCAGTCCTATGCATGGTACAGTCATAGGTTTTTTGGCCAACTATGATACATACAGTAACTAGTGGGGATAGGGTGGCCGTGCTACACGGGCATGTGTTGTCTTCTTTTCGGCGAATCTGACCGAAATGCCGTTGACATGCCGATTTATACGGCTCAAGCCACTGCTTTACAGACCTGATAGTGCAGCGTCCTCGGATCACCGCCTCAACCATTCAAAAATCGTCTCATTGTTAGCCTTGATGCATAAGCTCTTTTATAAACAACAAACCTTAGTTGCCACGGAGCCGCCAGCGAAAAACAACAATTTCATATCGTGTGCAACTTCAGTTCGGCTTTGGCAAATTATATAATTGAGCTTTAAAACTATCCAAAAGGTGAGCCGAGTTTCAAAGCTAAGTTTACAGTATTCTCTCTAAGTTTTGACTTTTTACGCTGTCGATTTGACTGACGGCGAAAAACATTGTAAAAGTTACCAGCATTTCGTGGATTCGTTGAGGTGTCCGCTGACCAGTAAAATACTGTACCGTGCCCTAAAAAACGTATTTCCGCGGTGTCGGTTAGAAGTACTGTGGAATTGCAGATTTGAATAGTTGCTCATATATGTGTGCTTTTTTCCCACATCTTCTATTCAGGAGGTAACAAAATATCTACATATATCATCTGAGTGACAGATCAAAAAATAACAATGTATGTGCAGCATGATTATGTGTTCTGCTCAATTCAAAAATCTGTCTGAATTGAAATAATTCCACTCTATTTACAGCTACATCTACATTTATGTTCAGTCAGTAAAATCATATAGATTAATCGCACCAACTATTTCTTCACTTTACTTTTATATAGACAATGTCTATAATTGTAGACTGACATTATTTTTAACTGAAAATTATGTCAGTCTACAACTATTATACACTGTCTATATGAAAGTAAAGTGAAGAAATAGAAGATCTAATTATTGTTATTGACTAAATAATTTAAAAGCTCAGATTTAAAATGTTCAAGGGTGATGGAGTTGATAATATCCTTAAGTAGGCCATTCCAACCTCTAATAGTTTTGGGAAAAAAAGAATAAAAGTTAATGTTCTTAGTCACTTTCTCTTTAAATGGGTCTAAAATTGTGGTTCCCACATGTTCCAAGTTTGCCGGGCATGAGGGCACAGGTAAACATTAGTGTCAATATCAATTTTCCCTTGACTCATCTATATAGAAGAATTAGCCAAGATATTTTTCTTCTCAAATCTAAGGTGGTCCTAGCTCTTGAACCCAGAGATATAATAAACATCTCGTTAACCTTGTTTTCTTGGAAGGAGCCATCACTTGAAGTGTTCAACTGCCCTTTGTTTAGGTCAAGGTGTTTTTACAGACAAGTCTATTTTTAGTTTGAATTTACCGCGAAATGGGATTCCCCAAGGAAGCCCTTCAACCAATCACTAGTAATGCGTACTGATAGTTAATTTATAACTTGACTTCTAGGAAAAGATAGTCTAAAAATAAACTGTTCTGTGAAAATTCTGTGATGTAGGCTCAGTATGGGAGTTTCACTCCAAGTAATGGGCTCCTGTTTCTCGCTCAGTACTGCCAGAACTTTATGGAATTTTGTTTTTTTCCTCTCAGTGTGTAACTTACTGTATGGACCTCAAACTCAGTTAATAAGAGGTATATATCAGGGAGTTAATTCTTTTCTTAACCTCTACTCACATAGATGAATTGTCTCCTTTTTTTCACAACCTTATATTGAATTTCATAACTTTGTTTTAATGGTGAGTTCCTTTCTTTCCTGAGAAGGTAACACACTTTTCTTTGCCAACTTTTAGTGGTTGAGCCTCACAAGCCAGCATGGAAGGCTATTGTAAAGATCTTTGGAAGAGATATTTTACTGAACAATGAGGAGATTGATAGGGTGAAGCTTGGAAAAATTGTATTTGAAGATGATGCCAAAAGACATGTTCTGAACAAGTGCACACATCCTTTTATACATCATTCCATTTTGTGGTCCTTGCTAAGGAATTTTTTGTCAGGTCTGTATATTTGTTTTACATCTGGTAAGGTTGTCAGTTAAGTAGGTACCTTTTTAGATCTGTTTTTTGCGAGTGAAATTATTATTATTAGTACCAACACTGAAAATTACTTGCACCATCACTAAAGGTTTCTTTATTATATATAAGTTTAAAATTTTAAATTGTTGTTTGAAGTACATGTACCTGTAGTCAGTACACTGTTGGAAAACTAGTATTAAAATAGATCATTCTATACTTAAATCAGGTGATGACTGAATCAGTCATCAACTGATTTAAGTATAGAATGATCGTGAATATGGAGCCTTGAAGTCCCTTCCAAAAAAGCCATTACTGTACAAGTTTTTACAGTACTATGTTTTCCTAAATAGATCTCTCTACAAACTGCAAGCATTTTGCGATTATCAGAAAACTTTGTTAGTTGAGTGAATGATATTTTTGGCTGTTAC